TAAGAAATCAAGTCATTCTCCTCAGAGTCATGGCAGGAATAGATAGTGGATAGGTTTGTCTCTAAAAAAAAAAGGAAAAAAGGGAAGTACTTTGACTCTCAGACTCTCAGATACTCTTTCAACTACATAATAGTTTTGGTAGCATTTAAAGAGAAAAGTAAAGCTTTCTACATGTTTAATAGTTCTCTGTCAGTGACTGCTCAGTTATCTCTGAAAGGAGAGTGAACGAGTGCAGCTGTGCAAATGTAACACAACAAATATGCACTTAATTGTGTCCTTTGGCCAGCAGAACATGTCTGTTGGTAATTAGTTCTTCCTCTACCAGACCCACTGGCATGTGAGCTCTCCTAGTGCGATTCTTGTTATTGTTCTCTCTGGCTCTTGTTCACTGTTGTTCTGGAAGGAAGGACAGAGCTGAAGGCATGAGTAATAGGAAATCTTAAGCTCTCACGTTCACCAAAGAGGAAAACATTTATTTAATCAGCCTAGAGCTTTACAAGCACTCAGAGAATAAAAGTTAGTCTTGTGGGAAGTGGGGGCAGAGGGGTTGGACTCAGAAAATACAGCCCTTGGCCTTTGAAGTGCTGTTACCCCAAGGTTAACACTGTACGTGAGCTCAGTGCAGGGACTTCTTCAGCTGGATTTTTGGGACAGGTTGTGTCAGCTTGTCTGCAGGTGTATTTGCAGCTTCTGGGTTGGAATAATTCTTGCAACACCCACCACTGCCTTCCTGACAGCTAGGAGTGACAGTACATTTTCGTCTTCAGGAGGTCCCCAAAGAAGCAGAGTTTATAAAGTGAAGGCAGATGAGCAGTGTGTGTGTTGTGAGCAGGCTGGAGCATCAGCAGGGTGACAAGGCTGTACAGGAGCTCACAGGGTGGTGGTGTTCCACTGGTGCTTCAAGAACCTCCTCACCCTTCGGTCTACCTTTTAGACTGGTAGAGGTGTCTAAGCTGGGTGCACACAGTGTGTAACCCCGTGCCTCTTCCTGCCACCTCTCACTCAGGACAGCTGTGCAGGGTCACTGCCCCACCCCGCTGGAGGGACCTTCAAAGCTCTCTGCCGACAGTCCACAGGGGCTCTTAGCTCAGGAGGATTTGTAACATCCAAGCTGAAGCCATTTGGGAGGATGGCATGCTGGAAACTGATAGCTGCTGAATCTCAGAAGGTGGTCTATGAAAAGTCTGGTCTGGAAAATGTAGCTTCTCATTGTCAACTATTATTACAGGTCTTAATATTGTTATAATACATAATAGAGTTGGTACTTCTGCTCATCATACTTGGGATATGTTCTCTGCAGAGTAAACACATCCAGCTCCTCTGTGTGGTCCATCATCCATGAATTCTGGTCACTGAGCCTTCAGCTGTCCTTCACAAGCATTGGAGATGTGATTACATGGTTTTACTTTTTACCCTGGTTATGAAGAATACATTTCTGCAATGGTTTTCCTTGGTAGTGTTATTCCAAAGTATTTTATGTAGGATATTAAATGTAATTTGACCTGCTTTGTAGACTGCAAAACTGAAGGTTAGTGTTGATACAGACTTGATTCCAGTTTAAGTCTTGAAATTACCAGAATAAATAGCCTTAATACTATCTAAAATAATGTTGTATCTATTTCATTCTAGAACATGCATATAATGTGCATATTGTGGACAGTATATATATTTGTAGTATATAGAAAATAACGAAAATTCTTATATCTTTGATTAGGTACTGATCAGTGAGATTTTCAGAGCCATAGAAAGCCACTGAAATTTAGCATCCACTTATCTGCATTTATAATTATGCTTGTAGAATTCTTTGATCACTGTTTCTTCACTCTGCAGTTCTAAGGCTTTGGAATTATTTGGTAAATGAGAACATTCTTCTACTCTTTTTAATTTAATTTTTTTCTGTCTGCTGTGTTCAAATGGGATTTTATCCAAGAACTTATTTCAGATTTGTCAATGTGGGTAGAAGATAAATAGGCAAGTCAGAAGAGGTTCTATGTTGTCATAAATTGATAACTGATGTTCTTTGCTTTTAGGGCACATGCAAGTGTCTGATGATTTAACAGAGACTTTATAGGCAGTGACAGCAACATACAGGTTTAATATTTCATTTGACAGTAAATTGCTGTCAATTTATTTGATTTCATTTAACAATTTGAAGTAAATTGTTAAATACTATTTTGGTTGCTTTTAGCACTTCTAGCTAAGCAAACCAAGACATTTACAGCAATTTGTTTACCTTACTCCATCTTATTTGAGGTACAGTCCTCTAAGATATGGGTCACAGTTCGTGCTTGATGGTTTGGATAGTCTTGAAGACTCAACCAAAGTGAAATGATTCAGAAGGGACCAAAAGCAGTATGGTAGATCAGATCCCAGTGTCTGCACAGCACAGAGAACTGCAAAGGATTTCTGGATGTGAACTTGAGAAGGGGCGAGGAGAGTTCAGCAGAGGGAGAAGACAGAGCCTTTAACCCTCTCTCACCTTGACTGAAGAATGTTTAGGGCAAATATGCACTTAATCAGTGTTTTCCTGGTCCTGCCAGGAGGATTGAGATGCAAACCTTTTAATGCACAGCACAGTAGCATGAGATCCCAGGAAGCTGCACACTCAACACACTGAATGAGGGTTTAGGAGCCCTGTTAGGGCAAAAGCAGATGTCTAGAAAATGTGAATATTTCATTGACTTGTAGATGCAAAAGTCTGTCCTAATACATTATAAATGACTGATTTTCAGCATCCATTTTCCCAGATGATCAGAGCAAGTCAGACATAGCAAGATGAGTCCTGAATTAGTTGAGATTCGGAATGTTCTCTAGCAAATACCTGCTGTAGGAAGGATCCCACTCATGAGCTGTAGAAACATTACAGAGGCAGAAAACTCATGAAACTGTTGTGGGAGTGTTTAACAACAACAACTGCAGCTGCTCTGGTATGTCACTGCCCCAAAACCTCTGCAGTGCAGGGTGTGTTCTCACTTGGACTTGCAGGGTTGTGTTATCTGAGGCGTGGTGTTCATTCATCACCACTCGCACCAGGATAAAATTTAGCCAGTTGTTTCAGTCTCTGGGAAAGACCTGATAAACTTGAAATTGATCCCTCTGGCTGTTGGGAAGAGGCAGGTATACATGGTTTGAACTATATTCCCTTGATGGTAGCTTATCAGAAGTTTTTCCAGGAAAACAAAACTTCAGAGGCCACAGGTCTACACATAATAATGAGATGAAGTCTGGATTTCTTTATCTTGTAAATTCCAGTCTTGAATGAAACTAGTGGGACACCTCAGTGGCTAAATAATTGCTAGGGAGAGTCAGAGATGAAGGCAGCCAGTAATGAAAATGATAGAGAATGAGCATTAACTGTGTTTTCTCTCTCAGTTCAATATTAGCTTTGTTGCTGCAAGTCAAACATCAGTTCTGTGTTTTCTCCCTCATTAGGTTTTCTTCCTTGAATAAGCAGATTTGTAGTGACTTCTCATTTTCCCTTTTAATAGAGACCCTGTTTTGCCTGATAGCTCTAAATCTACTTTAGTAAGAACACCTAAATCCCATTACTCTGTTTGGTGGATTTTGCCCCTGAAGTGCAAGAATCAAGAGTAAATGCAGAATCTGACTAAGAGAAGTGCAGGCTTTTTGCAGCTGAACAGTCAAATTTATAAGTAAACTAACAGCACACTGAGTCCTCTTCTCTGGCCTTGTATTGCTGAAGTTCCTGGATGAGAGTTACTAAAATTGAATGGTGCAACTTTAGCTGTAGAAGAGCTGGGTGGTAGAGCTGATTTTCTGGTAGCTGTCAGCTACTTTAATCCATGTACTTCATCATCTAATATAGATATATGTGTTTAAATAAAAAGCCTGTGTAACGAATGTCATATGTGAACCAAAAATATGTTTTTATTCTTCTCAACAGACAAAATGAAAGGTTGGATTTAGTAATGTTATGGTCTTAAGTACAATGAGGCAGGAGATGGTTTTGATAGCATTTTACAAGTCAGCTATAGAGATATTTTTTGCATGTAGCATCTCAGTGGATGGGGAATATTTGTGAAAAAGGACTTGAGCTAATTTCTTTGGAAAGCCAGTTACAAATTCAAAGACTTTTAGAATTCTTTACTTGTCACTATGAAGGATCATTCTTGTAGCATTAATAATTTTTCTATTTAAAAGCCTGATGTGGACATTTTGTGCTTAGTTTATGAGATGAGGAAGCTAATGTATTGATTGCTTTGGTCCCCTAAAGAGAAGAAATCACATTAATATTTATGCCTTGATTTTTCATGTCCTTATAGGCCTGAAATCTGATCAGCTTTACCTATTAATGGTATCAATGTATTTAAGAGACTGAATGACTCAGTGGATTTGGATTTGGGTAAAAGGATCTAGGGTATTTAGGACCTTTACAGCAGTAGTTCAAATTCAGCTCAGGCTGTCTGTACTGGTGCAGCTTCTGAAGTTGGGGATCTGGCAATTAAATTAATGGTCCCAGAAGTGGCTCTAGAAAGCACTCTTTACTAATACCCATGTCAGCAGTGTGGGGAAGGAGGCCAAGGAATAAAATGGTTGAAAACTCATTAATTGGCAAAAAGAGGAGGCAGCAGGTTCACACAAACGAACTGCAGTGTGGCATTGATTGCCTCGGACTGTTAGATGATTTAAAAAGATGTTTGTCAAATCGTGGAGAACAGGTACCTTGTGATGTAGCTCCTAGCCAGGAGGACACTGATTGCTTGATGGGAGGGTGTGAAGAGGAAGGGCTGTTCTGTGCTGTCTTTTCTCTTACATGCTTTTCCCCAGGCAGCCACTGCTGGCCTGTGCTGAGGACAGGACAGACCTCAGGGCTGAAGCAGTGTGGCAGAGCTCAATCCTCAGTGCTATTGTCACATCTTGAGGGCAGTGTTGTAGCAAAACAGGTGAACTACGAGAAAAAGGGCAATGGTCAGCCAGCAGAAAGTCAGAAAGCAGTGCAATGCATTTGTCCCTCATGTTCCTTTTTTGTTTTTGTTTAGGCAGGTGACAAGCATTACCATCCAAGCTGTGCACGATGCAGCAGATGCAACCAAATGTTCACAGAAGGAGAAGAAATGTATCTGCAAGGTAAGGATGTCTCCATTCCAGAAGAAGAAAATGAGCCATTGTGATTTTTCTGTCACAGACCTCAGGAATTTATAAACCATCCCCATGTAGTATGTCCAAGGGGGACTATAGTCATCCTGTCCTCTATAGTGTTCTCATATTTTTTCACTTGGTACCCTTTTGTTCTATTAGGTGGCCATAACTGTGACTTTGCAGGGACTCTGTACCCTTGCTGAGGCAGCCTGTGCTTGCTAAAAACCAGAATTTGTTAGGCTGCCTCTGAATTTGACATCTCATGGATAGTTTAGCCCCAGAATGGTGTATGAGATACCAGACAAAGTGAAGGGATTTCCCCTGATTTCTGCTGATCAGTTTCTGTGCTATTCTGGACCACACTCCAAACCAGTAAAAGGCAAGGGAAAAATCTTCCAGAAGCTGCAGTGCATTTGCTTAGAACCATGTAGACCTCATTCCTCATGCACACTGACAGAGTGTCCCCTCCAGTTCTTAATCATATGTGCTACCCTTCCCTTTTATCTGGTGACATCTCTCTTTTTATTCCCATGTACTTTATATCTTTTTGTAGCCACCTCTTTCTTGTCTGTTTATTTTCATCTCCCCTTTCTTGTTAAGAGTCTGCACTCCCAGTTATTGCCTAGCTTGGTTCTTCGTGATCTTTTAACATGAAAAAGAATATTTTCTATTCTTTGATAGAAAATTATCATTGATCTGAATCCCACCTACTCTCTGAGAGGGTGGTATACTCATATTAAGTTATTTTTATTGCTTGCTGTAGTATTACTGTTGGTAGAAGGATGCATAATACCCATTTATGTAAACCAGAAATAAAAGTGAAAAAGGCAGATACATGTTGCGATATTATGTATTGCATTTAGGTTAGAAAACTTGATGTACTTGAAAGGAATGTAGAAGAATAGTGAAAGAAATATGAAAGTGTTGTCACAGCCATTTCTTGAAATCCTGAGGAGAGATTCTTACTGGAGGAGTTCCAAAACAAGATCATATTGTTAAGGCATTCCTTTGAAGCTAACTTGTTTTATTTTGTAGTTTGTCCTTCCTTGCAGTCCCTCTCTATCATCCTTCCCTGACCTTACATCTCAGTCATCTTATTCCAGCTGTGCCCAGAACAGGATGTGAAATGGAGTAGCAGCTCTGCTTGGCAGGAGCAAGGAGAGGCTGGAAGAGGGCTGGGTGGGAGGTGCTGCTTTCTGATGGCAAATTGGAAAAACTAACTTGAAAGCAGCATTTACAGCATCTGGCAAATCTTAGTTTCCTCACATGATGGTGTGGTAAAGTACAGGCAGAGTTCAAAATGAGCATCAGGTCATCCTTTGCTGTCATTAATTAGTAACAGCCATCTCCAGCTAGTGCCATGTGCACCAGTCTAGCAGAGAGTGGGACTTTGGGTTAATTGAGCAAGCTTTGATGTACATTTCTGCAGCTCAAAATAAGACAGAAGGTTTCACTTTTACTTAAACTAGGCTGGAGTTTGTCCTGGACAAGTTCAGGTGATAGGAAAGGGGAGAGGAGAGAAACCTGGCAGCAGCTTGATCTGTTGTCTCTCTTAGTGTATCTCTCTTTCTGTGGTTATGAGTCAATGTTCCTGGTGCTCAGGCTGTCTCAGGGGAGGAGCACCTCATATTGCATTGCTTTATTGTTCACAGGATGTTTTCTGACTAAATAATGTAATTGCTGAGTGTGCTCCAGACTGTCCTGCCAAAGCTTTCCTAGCTGAATTCAGTGTGCTTGGAAGTGTGAGGACCTAAAAGCCTTTCCTGTGCAAAGCTCTCAGCTGAAATGCATATCCTGACTCCATCCAAATCACTGCCCCGAGGGTGCAGAATAACAGCATTCCAAGCATTTCTCTGAAACAGAAATACAACACCACAACAATAAAGCTAGAACAAAAATCACCTTGTTGATAAAATACACAAAAATAGGTGGCTTCCATCTCACTTCTAATTGTCCTCTCCCTAGAATATGAAAGCACTGTCTTGGTATTGCTTTGTATAATAGAGAAGCCTGGCAGGATTGTAGTATAAACTTGTATTAGAAATGTTGGGAAACTGGCAAAAGGAGAACATGGACAAACAAGCTCTCTGTCTTGGGGCTTTCTATGTTAAGGGTGGTTGGAATAATGCTAGCAGAAACATTCTGGCTTGGCACTGCTCCAACACATGAAAATGAAAAAGAAGCAGCACAAGAAACTGTCTCTTTCCCATTGACTTCCTGGTAATACATTATTTTATGGGCTGTCTCACAAGGCTGTTGCTGAGCTAGGAATGCCCAGTATTTAGATGGATGCTGGTGTTGAAATAATGGTACATGCAAAGTTTAAAGAGGAATAAATGAGCATGCTAGGTGGTGTTTGCCAGGTAAGCAAACAAATATATGTTAAGAATAGAAATAATCACAATTTGCTGAACTGTTTCCAGCAGTTAAAGGGAGGCATGATGCAGCTTGGGAATTTGCACCCTTGCAAGCATTTCAAAACAGTTTAGATAAATAGTATCTACAAAATGTCAGTAGCTCAGAGTTCAAGATCACAAAAAAATATGTACATTTAAGTTTTTAATCCTACTCTGTCTGATTTGGGTTTTTAAATGTCACATCTTTCAAATCTCTTTACCATTTTGTGAGAGAAAATCTACAACCCTTAGCTAGATTTCACCATGAAAAAGACTTCCAGGTTCCTGTATTTCTTGTTCACTTTCAGCATTCTCACAGGGTGTCCCTAAACTGTGTCAGTTTGTGATAAATACTGCTCAAAATGCAGTCACAGCTTTCTCATTGATGGTAGGGAAAGTTTAACAGAAAAGAATCACAGAATTGTTAAGGCTGGGAAGACTCCTAAGATCATCAACTCCTGCCATTAATCTAACAGTGAGGTACAGAGGAATAGGGATCATTTTTCTCAGGGCCACGCAGGAAGGAAGCTCACAGCTGGATTTGAGACTTGAGCTAAAATCTTCTGAGTCTTAGTTCATCCTTGAGCAATAGGTGTCATATTCAGAGGAGTCTTACTCAGATCACTTCTTTTAACATGAACTTACAGCCTTATGACCTGAACTCTGTTTCTCCCGCATGGACAGGGCACAGCTCCCTCCTGATCCTGCAGGCTCTGCGGGGTCCTGGCTCTGAGGCTGCTGTTTGTTTACAGAGAAGGCTCTCGGTGCACTTCTCCCTGTTGTCTGATGGTTTCCCTCTGCCAAATGCACAGTTTCTTCTTCCTCGGCTTAGACTCACAGCCAGACATCTCAGACCCTTGCTCCAGAGTCACAGCATTCCCTCCTGTCTCCTGTGATGACTGTGCTGTGTACTGCTGGGAAGTGAAATGATTCCCGCTGCACTTTACTTCTGCACCAAGCCATGTAAGGGCTTGTTATAAGAAAGTTTCCAGGGGCCCTGACCCATCCTTCTCCTGTCCTCTGAGGGTGGGGTTTCCTCTGGCTGCTTTTGAGCTAATAGTCACCAGCAGGAGACCTGGTCTTGGCTCTGTTTGGTTTCTCTGTGGGCAGAGTGAAGAGGTGATGTTCCCCCCTGCAGATAGTCAGGGCTCTGGATTGGCTTTGTGGTGACTGGAATGAAGGATGAATTTGATTGCAGCTGCAGTCAGTGTTAAAAATCAGTGTTAGTTTCTGCTCCATTTCATCTTGGCCGATACCTTCAGCAGCTTTCCAGCAGTGACCACAGCTTACACTGTTTCAGAGGACAAATGAAATGGGATGGAAATGCTTCTTGCCCTTGACATCACTCAGTCCTTGAGGACAGCAGGATATTCCTACTTTACAACATAAGAAAGAATCTCATATTTTGGGAAACAAATAGCAGAGGACTTGACTTTTTTAGTAGGATATAAGCTGGAATATGCCATGTGGAAGCACCAGTGCCACTCCCCAGAGCACAGGGTAGAACTGCTGTGTGTGCCAATGGCAGGTTTGGTGTGCTGGGATCCAGGGAGAGGCTCTCATGTGCAGCTTTGCCCCACCTGTCATCCTGGCCTCTCACCCACTGCCACTGGGTCACACACTGCCCTGGCTCTTGCACTGTGAATTTTTTAATTTTGCTTTTCCTTTTGCATTTTGCATGAGGGAAGATGTGACCTGAGTAATACTTTACAGTAACTGAGTATGACACCTATTTCTCAATGGACTTAAAATCAGAAATTCCTTTTTATGTGCAGGGCAGTAGATAAGGGGAGAACAGATCAGGTAACTGTGGCCCAATTCCTTTGCTCTTACCCTCCAACCTGCCAGAGGAATCCTCTCTCTTTCAGTTCCTCCAGCTGGTGCTTGCTGACTCTGTTGCTGCTTGAGGCTGCTTGAGTTTTAATTAAGAATGTGTGCAAAGTGCTTTGACAGCCTCAGGACAAAGCTGCTGTAGGTACACCAAGGGTTTGAATATTTTTTTGTTTCCCTTGTATTTCCCATGAGCTAGACTTTAATGTCAATTACTCTCATAGTTCATACAGATTCAGCATCTGATGCAATGAAGAGATTCTCTTTAATAACTGGCTTGTCATGAGCAGAAACAAATTTTGCTCTGAATAAAGTTGTGTTTCTCCTTCCTCAGGTTCCACTGTCTGGCATCCCGACTGTAAGCAATCCACTAAGACTGAGGAGAAGCTCCGGGTAAGCTGAATTCATGGCTCAGTGACACCCCAAACATTTTGCACACACAATAATTGAATGTTGTTTTTAAAAGAGTGACTTTTTCCATGTTTTTTTCACATAGCTGTCACAACTCTGGCAGAATATACAGTGGAGGCACTTCAGAGGTATTGCTCTGATTTTTAGGCTTACCACCTTCACATACCTGTCTCAGTGCACTGCCTTAAAGATAGTGTCATTTACTGACATACAGACGTGGCCAAGTATCTAAGACACTTCATTTCATATCTCAGTTGTTGTGAGAGAGACTCTTAAGGAGAAGATATGAACAGGGCAAATGCTATCATATATTTTAGTGGTTTTGCACATCTGTGTAATTGCTCTATAGTTATCCCCTGTTCTGTGTGGTTATTTGCAGCATTTAGAAAAGATGAACTCTTTCTTTGCCATCCAAGTAAGCCTCAACCTTAAGTGATCCTGATTTGAATGCCAAAAAGAGGCACAGTTACCCTTGGAGTTACATCAGCATATTCAGGCAAACTTTCTGGGTCAAATCCTCAGTGACAATAATGCTGCACTGATAAATGCTAGAGCCTGGCTTTTTGCATGAACCAGGCAATTCTAAGCCCTTATTCACTGATTCATCCTCTGGACAATTTTCTTTTCTTGATGTCTCAGTTGGTCTCTTGAATTTTGCTAATTTCCCAGAATATGAATATTAGAGACTGTATATGAATAAATTGTCTTTTAGATAAGGAAAATAAGAGATACTGGTCTGAAGATACCTGTGACATCCTGTGGGTTGTATTCTGTGTGGGTCTCATTCACAGGAAGCCACATCCTTTAGCATTTATTCCAGTACACTGGTCTGTAAAACATGCCCCACAGAGAAGTTATGGTCATAGGTAATGTGCAGGTAGAGTGCTGTTGAGCAGAGTTCATGTTAGTGTGGGCAAAAACATAACTGGCCCTAGATGGGCATATGGTCTAGAATGGCCAAACCTCAGTGCAGATGCCATCCAGAATTCACACATTGCTCTGTCCTGACTTTTTGTAAGACAATGGAAAATGATGCCAGACTGGATTTTCTTCCTCATTTAACAGTTTGAATGTAAGACAGTATTTTGGCCATGCTTAAGTGTCAGAATGCTTTTGCCTTGAAGTACTTGGTTGCAGTACAGTACCTCCCTTTCACTTGGACCCAGGAGTTTTATCAAAGCACTCCTGTCTGCACTGTGGCCCTTATTAGCCTTCTCCAGCTGACATCATAAATCAGTTTGCTTGTTTCCATTCCCCATGGAAATGGCTGTAGTCCTCTTCAAGTATTTCCCTTTTTGTCAGTATTCTCCCTCCTCAGCTAATTTTAATTGACGTGAGCAAAATGAATGGATTCACTCACCTGCAAGGCATTGCGTAAGTGAGTCCTGGCAGGAAGAGGAGGTGAGGCTGAAGAAGGCAAATTGAGGGAGCATCTGAGCAGTGTGACAACACAGCTGTCCTGCAGTCCTGGAGGAGACCCTCTATGCAGAGGTTTAATAGGTCCTTAAAAGGCATTGATAAATGCACCATACTGAGCTGGCTGAGATGCACTGTTTTTAGCTTCTGTGGTACATCACAGATTGTCTGCTCTGGTGCAAAGTCAGAACCCTATTCTGATATCAGCTGGAGTTCACTTTGATGACTTTGACACGTGCTTCATCCTGTTGGCCCAAATGAAGGCAGTAGCAAACAGGTAGGTAAAGAAATTAACAAAACTGAGGGAATTATGTGCTGTTTGAGCATGTCAGCACTAAATTGGGGTATGTACTTTGATTGAATTTCAGTTTTTTATTCAGGGTCAGGCCTAGATTTTCTGGTGGTTCTGCAAAAAGCCAGTGCCATTGCCTATTTGCTTGCTGGGTTTCCTTTCCCTATAGAACAAAACAAAACAAAAACCCTTTTATCACTGAAGTAACTTCAGAAGTTTTCAGCAAGTTCTGTTTTCTCTCAGTAACTGAATTGTGATATAAACTAATCAGCATTTGAGCTGGTTAAGATCTGAGAGGGAGTTCATAAAAGCAATGGTTGCTTTAGATCTTTTCCCCATGGATATTTGTGGAAGTTTGCAAAGACAAAACAAGCAGAAAACAAAGCAACCATATGCATGTTACAAAAACATATATTGGTGTTTATTTACAACCATCTGGCTGTTATGATTCTGCAGTGGTCAGTAAGTAACAGAAACTATGACACAAGCAGCTGATAAAAACTTGATTGAAAAAAGAGCTTAACCACTGAACTGGGGAAACTGCTTTCCTTTTCACTCATTTTTCCCTTTTGTGTTCCATGACAGCATTCCTCATCTGAGTTCTTTTATCCAAAGAGTCTGGTTCTGCGCAGGCCACGCTCTGCAGAGGTTTGCTGTTGTGTTTTCATAGTGTTGATAATGATCTTCTTTACTGAGAAGATTCCTCATTACTGTCATTTGCTGCGCTTGCTACTCCTCCTGCCACACAGCTTTCCTGCTATCACTTGCCACCATGGGCACTGACGCTGTATTTTGCATCACTTGTTTCAGTGTTGCTTGTTAATTCTCACATTTTTTATTTTGTTTAATGAAATGCTTACAATTAACTTTTTTATTTTAGATTCAGATGAGCTTTGGGGGTCTGTAGTATTGGTCTTTCAGTATTTCAGAAAGTTTTCCTTCTGAAACAAAAAATTAGAGTGTAAATATGAAGCAAATGAAAATAGTGAAAAATATCTGACTTCAAAGCGATGGTTAAAAAGAAATAGTTTTCCATGAACAGTGACTTATGTTCTTAGGGAAAATAAAGCCGTCACTTAAGTCTCTTCCTTTTTTTAGATATATTGACCAGCTACCCATGAATACTTTAGTTGATAAAATGCTTACAAAACCCCAGGTTTGGATATATTCCATGTGCTGCCTGAGAGCATTTGCCTCTCTAGTCTGGTGCACATTCACATCTGAGTTGCAAGGTCCTCTCTGTCCTCCTGACTCTGGAGTAGCTGTCTACTTTCAGATTTTGCTGAGTTTGCTTTGCACCTACAAACACCGCCCAGTTCCATTTCTTCTCCCTCAGGACATTGTTTATTTGTTGTGTCTGCTGTGGGGCGTGTGGCTGTGCTGGTGCAGGTGCACCTGAGGTAGTTTTCACCTGGTGATGGAGTCAGAGCGCACTGGTGCAGGCTGGCAGCAGGCAGAGTCCATGCCACTGGATGGCCTTGGTGTTGGTTTGTGCACCCCTCACTTCTCTCATTGCAGAGTAGATGCAGTCAATGTCAGCCAGGGCAAGGTGTCTGTGTGAGATCCAGCCTGCAGGATGGGGTTGGACAGTGGAATCCAGTTCTGTGATTCAGTGGGGGTTAATGCAAGCCCTCTACCCTTTGTCCCACACAGTGGTTTAGTTACCTAACTACTATTGAACACCTCTCTCTCTGTTAGCTACAGATATGTGTATCAAGAAAATGCAGCACAAAGATGTGTTATCAGTGCTCCTAAGGAGAGCAGTGTCTCTTCAGTCCTAGGCTTTATGGAATAAAATCTTGGAGTCTGCGAACAGCAAACTGTGGGACCATTTCACTCATCTTTTAGGCCAGTGTAGTGACTTTTTGCTTTTGGCTTAGTGCACACAAGTCTGAGTTTGCAGTGTTGAACTCCAGGAGCCTCAGGATTAAAAACCCAAATGCTATTCAATGTATTAGAAAAATATGCAAGGCAAGATAGGAGCAGCCCGTGTTAAAACAAAGGTGTGCTCTCCTTCTTGCTTTGTAGACTGTATAGGATACAAATATCTTAGGGTCAGATTATACCCTCTTGTGTAAATTTGGTCAGTATTAAATGCTGTTTAGATTTACATGGTGATTCTACAAAGGGTAACTCAAGACAGATTTTGGCTTCAAGTATTTTTCTACAGAGTGACAGTACACAAAGGTACTGTCACTGCTGTTGCTGTAAAAGTGGGCCAAAGGCTTGAATGTACATAAAAATTGTAGTTAGAAAATGGTAGGGTGAAATCCACTGAATTCTCTGAAAGCTTGTGTTGAATTCAGTATGTTCTGGACTTCCCACTTTATTTTCTTGTTCTTCTCACTGAACTTACTCTTGATGAAGGCTAAGTTTGCATGAATGGTATTGTAGAAGTTTGTTTGGTACCAACATACCTTCAGTGATTACGTGCTGAAAATTCATTCTCCCTTCTGGCCTTTATGTCCAGAAAGGAAAGAAAAATTAGTCAAAACTTACTAATATCTGTGTCGGTGTGAGTTTGAACTAAACCTGTCCACTAGTTTTGTCTTGGTGCATATTTAGTGTAGAGAAATAAGAAATGCATGCATTTGAAGGAAACACTCTTGTAAGGAGAAGGGTACAGTTATCCAGCAGAGAGGCACAAAGAATCCTGACATTGAGGGACTTTGTACATCCATTGAAAATTACATAAATCCATAGGAAATCCATATTTTATGAGCCCTGGTTCTGAATCCTGATCAACTGTAAAACCTTGCAGTCGATAGAGCAGGTAGTCAGTGTAAAAAGTGATGTGCTGAGAAAGTCAAATCCCTTACTGTTGCTAAGTCTGCCCAGGAAAAGAAATGCCATCCTAATCTTCTATTTATTTAAAATATGCTTCACTTAAAGTAGCTTCTGAGATTTAGAGAATTTGCTTAAACTATAATGTTAAATGTTATTAAGTGAAAACATATTCATTCTTCTGCAGCTATTATCACCGCCTTGCATAATGAACTCTATCAAAAAATTAAGGCAGGTACTGTAAATGGTGACGATGCCTTTGTAAAACGATAGTGCATCCATTTGGCCAGATGTTCTTGGGATCAGTTTTGATCTGGTTGCCTGCACCTGTAAGTTTTTACAGAGCATGATGCTGAACATCTGTACTTGAGAATGCCGGAGCCACCACATTGTAGCATCGCCTGGATGATGTGAATGGCTCTAGTGGGGACTTTTTTTTTATTTTAAGAAGTTATTTATTTAGATGATGTACCGTGCATGATGAAATAATAAACAGGGGTAAATGCAGATGAACATCTTAAGCTTTGTAGTCTCATACTGAAATATCAAGTTAATCAGTTTGGGGCATCTGCATGGGTGATCTGATCATTGAGCACTCAATTCACGATGAACCTTAGAGGACAAGCATGGCAGTTGGTATTCTCTCTATCAACCTGCAAATGAAACTGGTACAAAACTTTTGTGTTCAAGGTAAATGCATGGAATGAAGAACAAAAACATAAAAATAAGAGGTCTGTGATAAAGTGGGAAATACTGAGAAATCTTGTAAATTCTTTAGATGCTTTGTGATCTGTTTTTTCTTTTGGCTCCTTTAATGACATGCATGAATTTTTCTTGACTTAATTTTTTTAAGTTTGGTTTTTTTTTTTCATATACTTCATAGACTTTCTGTATTTGGTACAGACATCCTACATTGATACATTTACTACTGTTACATCCATTTGTGTGGAAGAGGAAAGGAAAAAAAAGATGACTCTCCTACCCTCAGAAAATGTGGAGAAGCCATTTACCACCAGAAAAGAGAAAGAAGATTAGCTCTTCATAGAAATTTCCCTTAAATTTCTCTACACAAAGGTGGCTTTATAAAAGGCTGTATTTGAATCCTTCAAGGAAAAGAACAATCATATAAAAAATGTTTCAGATCTCTTTGTAGAAGAAGTAAGGCAGCTTAACTTGTTTTGTTGCTGGGAGTGTAGAACAAGTGTCACAGGGCTATTGTGATGGAAGTAAATACCTCTAAATTATTGCATTCATATAAAAGATTGTGTCTTTTTTCTTTACCTGTTTTCTTTGAATAACGTGTGAAAGAGATGCACTCGTGTTATCTCCACATCTCCAATGTTAAAGGTTACATCAGGGCCAGCCCTATTCCTGTTTTAGCTGTGCTCTGATCAGCTCCCCTCCAGGATGGAATGTACACCCCAGGGCAGTTACATCAATAGAGAACTTGACCTGCAGTGTGTCTCTTGCCACCTGTGCAAGACACAGAGTCACAATGGTGTTACACAGGGTCAGGGATGAAAGTGTGACATTCAGTCTAATAAATGCCATAGCAGGTCACAGATTTTCAAACGGGAGCTTTTATGGGCCTCTTAGGAGAGGAGCCAACCATAGCATCTAAAAGTATGCCAGAGGAACAGCTTATACTAAGGAATCCTTGGTGTGTGTTTGTTAAAGCAAGCAGCATAAATGTTTTTAAGTGCAACGCAATTGTCTTTAGGGGAAAGTGCAAAGCTGTGAAGGATTCCAGACCATATGGGAAGAAGCAGGGTAGGAAAGAGCCATCTGTGATGGAAACAGCCTGTGTAACTCAAAATAAGAAATAGGGCAAACTGAGGCAGGAAGGTTGAGAGTAGATGTATGAGTCCTTTTACATGCACTGTCTTCAGGGGTGTGTTTAGAAATTAGCAAGGTACAGGACTGGGATCTGCTAGAGGAGCTCAGAGTTGCAGGTCTGCTTGGATTCAGCTCCTCAGGAAAGGAGCAGAGTGTGCTCAGGAAAGGAGCAGAGTGTGCTCAGGCCGTGGCTGGCAGCAGGGTGTCCTGACCAGGCAGTGGGGAGCTTTGTAATAGGCAGAAGGTAAAATTGATGTACACAGAAAGAATCACAGAAAATAGAAAACTGGTTTAAAGGGTGTCATTCCTGGCTCGTGGCTTTGTTAATGGGATGGTGAAGAGGAACTTGGAACAGAAACGCAGTGAGGAAATGAAGAACAGGTGCTACAACTTGCCAGTCCATCTGACAATTCCTCTTGGACTCCAGAGTTAAGAGCACCTAAGAAATTTATTACCAGGATATGGCTGAAACTATCTACTTAAGGTGTCTAACTTTATTTAGTAAATTCACTGAAGTGATAAGTGCAAGTTAATTTTCCTTAAACTAAAAGGTTTTTAGCTGTGACACTAAGAGATGGAGCTAAGGAGCTGGAGAGAGACTGAGACTGAGAATTTCTTGTTTTTGAGGCAATTATAGAAGATCCAAAGGGCCTGCCAAATGGGAATAAACCATAACTGCCTCTAACACTTGTTTTCCTACAACGGGGAAAGTTGAGCAGACAAAACTCTCAAAGTATGTCTGCCAAAAGCCAGAGGTAACAGAGACACCCCTAAAAGTACCTCAAGTACTTAATACTGTTCCCTATGTTGTAATGAAAACAATTGTTTTCCATAGTAACTGCAACAACATGTTACATGTGTCTCCACTCAAACAGAGTGAAATGGAAGAATGGAAGGGGGAATAAAGTGTTTCTCAACAGCAGCCAGATTTTCCAGCTCAATTCTTGTAACATTTCCATGAAACAAGTGCTTGTTGTTGGGTTTTTTGGTTTGGGAGGAGCTTAAAGGGCAGATGAGAAAATTCTGTTCCCTTTTGAGATGTAGGAATTTGCAGCCTCAGAAAGAAAAGAAAAGAAACATGTAAAGGTCCAGCTGAGAAAGTGTTCTCAAAGATGCTCTGGAGAGGATTTGTGACTTTGTTAGTCCACAGCTACATCTGCTCTCTGTTTGATCTGAATCTTACATTTTTTGGTGGAACATATTCAAAGCCTTTTTGTTTCTCTAACCCTCCCTGAATGTGGTGACTTAATTTTCAAAAGTGAAGTCAGAGAAAGCCTGCTGTATAATCCATGACCAGTCTTCAGCATTTCATATACAGATGGTTCCAATAGCTTTTCTGGCTTGAAAATTTAAAAGCAGAAAGTCTCTGGGGTCAGTTGAAGGGTTCCTTCAGGAAATGTATGCTGAGAGGTAAGATAGGTTCAGTAGCCTTTGTGTGTTCATCCAGTATTTTGTAAGAAACAATGAGCCAGGCTGTCAAGCCTGGTTTGTCTTTAGGTGTGCCTGAAAGTCCCTTAGTCCCGGGGTCCTAATGTCACACGCTGATGAGATAAGGACTGTTTCCCAGCATTAAATTTTAAGTGACTTTAAGGTATCCCACCACTGGTGTCAGAGTCTTGTGCTGACACAAAGTTTTGTGATGGGATTTGGTTCTTTGCAGTCAATTAGGGAGCAAAAATTGTTGATGGTTTCTCAGTTGCAGTTGGGATGTGGTTGACTTGCCTACCTTTGTGTATGTGCTGTGTGCCAAGTTTAGGAGTAATCATCACAATAACCAGGGTGACTTTTCATCAAATAGAATACTTTGCAAATTCATCACGTTTTCAGGATCCCCACAGGTCATCAGTTGTTCTCTTCTCTCTCACAGAACTTCCCCCAGGGAACCAGTGTCTGTTTAGTCCTGAAAAAGTGTTGGAAAATCTACTAAATGTAGCAGCACTGACTCTGTAGGGAGGAGAGTGTTCTCATGAGTTTCAGTTTGCAGGACATTGTCATTAAACATCGTGACTTTTGCAGTATGGGGAATCATGACACTGCAACCCACATTTGACTTCCCTGCTGCATCTTGGTTGTGCTGCAGATGTAGGGAACAGCTCCAAGCCAGGGATCTCAGGTCCTTTTACGTAGGAAGGCTGAATTCAGTTCTGATGATTTCATTCCTAATGGAAATCCAGGGATTGAACACCTGGAAAGAGATTACACAGTGTGTGCTGTGCTCCTCACAACAGTTTTGTCTGCTGGACTGCTGATCCCTGCAGTGGTTTGTGAACTAACCTGTTGCTAAATGACCAGCAGGACTATCCTGGATGGTTCTTTGTATGGCTCCTACAGTGTCTCTGCAGGTGTTGTTTGATTTTGTTCATTATTGTTGTTGGTCTAGTTTTTTACACTGTATTATTTAGAAAACCTCTTCCCCTCTCACACCACTCCTTCCCCTACCAAAAAAAAACCAAAACCCCACTTGCCTCACAAGATTGTGGAATTTGCCAGAATGCTTGCATTTGTGTTGACATTTTTCTTAAATTCAGTTATTTTCAAGATACATGCAGATTTCTTCACTTAAAGTTGCCAACACTAATGGCTTCAGATTGCTCTCAAAAGTTCCCTTTTGTTTTTCAGCCTACAAGAACATCATCAGAAAGCATTTATTCCAGACCAGGTTCCAGTATACCTGGCTCTCCAGGCCACACTATCTATGTAAGTATTCCTGCTGGTGAATAAGCTGCTGAGCCTTTGCTTGCACATGAACTACTCATGCTGAAATAAATCACTTTTATACTGATGCTTTATTTTAGTGCTTAAATTGTTAAAACCTTTGCCATGTAGCTTTTGTAGCTACAGGATTTCAAGAGCAGGGTAGGCCTTTTCCAGGTCACATTTCTCTTGGAAAGGTACAGTAAATCTTTTGATGTCACTTGGTGGTGTGAAGAGGGACAGAGGGCAGAGGGGTCATTTGACTTTGTAAGGATTTTGAGAGGAGATCTGTGCACTTTGACACAATTTTTGACAGGTCTGCTCTCTGCTCTTGGGGAATGTGGGGAGCAGGGTCAGCTACACTGAAAGAAACCTATCTGATCCAACACCTTCCAAGTCAGAAATCAGATTTTTCAATTGTGAAAGGAATGGTGTTTTTAATTTAGGAAAAAAAAATGTTATTAAGCATAATGCTAAATCACTAATTTTATCAATAACCTTGAGATTATAAAGATGAAAATATAGAGTAAACCCCAGAAATTAGGTAGTTACATTTATAATAATGCAAAAAAAAAAAAAGTCCAAAATTACAAATCTCATGTCCTCAGTTAAACTCTAGTTCTATGCATTTCAACAACCACAAAAATAGGCTGATATATGAAAATTGTTGTCACTGCAGATACCAAAAGACAAAGCATGTCCTGGAGAACTGCCTTTATGTGGGTAATATCAACTTCATAAACTGTAGCTTATGAGAATAAACTGCTGCTCAAAATTGCTGTCTGTGGAGCAACATGGCCACCAAGATTAGGGTCTACAAAAATATCTGTAATAATTTATATTGGAATAAGAGTATCCAGACATATTTGCATTTCATTAACAAAGTGGTAAAAATACTCCAGAAATAACATATATTGATATATCTAAATATTTTAAGGATTAAAATGGTTTTAATATCTGGTAATTAAAAGCTAAACAGATTTAAGTCTGTTTGTAGAGACTAAATGTCCCAGATATTTCAAACCTTGCTTCTCTAGCAAGAAAGGGTTTGTTTCTAGTTTGAGGAATTGCTTAAGAACCACCAAGACCAGTGGTTGCTAAAGAGCTTGTGAATTGCATATTAATCTGAAATTACTAGGTGCTAGCAGTCAGAAGGAACAGAACTAATGTGAATTTCCTTATGCAGTCTACTGTGAATAAAGTATCTTTTAAAAGTGTTGAAAAACAATTTCAATATCTTCTTTCAGTTTTAGTCATAAATGTATTTCTGTGAGGTAGATAAACGTGTATGATGATTTATTTAAAGTTTTTCTGTAAGTAAAGAAATCTATTAGTTATCTAAACTAAATGTGAGGCCTCTTTCTGTCTCCATGTAGTGGGTGCAGCTGACTTTGGAATTTATTTCCTACTTCTGCTTTTTTAACTAGTCAAGATCTCCTTGCAGTCTTAGTGGAAAAAAAAAATAGTCCATGCTTGCACCATGTAGCTGGTAAAGAGTGGATGCTTAGTCAGAAGCTTGGGCATAGGATGAGTGATGAATGCAATGTAATTATTTTATTTGGTAGTTTGGATACCCAGTCCTGACAGTCCTCCTTGTCTTTTTATTTCCTTCCACTAAGTTCTGTTTCCTCCTGTGTGCACAGTTATAAATTGAGTATCTGTCTGGGTCTTCAGCATGAAATCCTTTTGTAATCTCTGTAATCTGCAAACTAAATTGATGTTATCGCCCGTTTTACATATGGGAAAACAAGAGCAGAAAGGTGAAAATACTTGCCTGAGGCCACAAAATGAGTCATTTGCAGAGCTGAAGTTTCCAGCTCACTACTGAGGATAAAAAAACTTTTGTAACTAGATCTATATATGCCATGTTCTTTCTTCCCTAAGAGAGGAGAAACAGTGTGAGCTGCTGCAGAGGAGGCCTGCTGGAGAAGAACAAGAAGCATTCACTCCAGATGTAGGGTGCCAAAAAGGGGTTTCATAGCAACAGTGTGACAACAAATACACAAAATCATGAATTGTGTGAAACAGAAATTGCCAGTGCATTTGTGTAAGTTAATTTATCTTCTGTCTTTGACCTTTAGGCAAAAGTAGACAATGAAATCCTTGATTACAAGGATTTAGCAGCCATTCCCAAAGTCAAGGCCATTTATGACATTGAACGTCCAGACCTAATTACTTATGAGCCATTCTACACCTCCGCCTACGAGGACAGACAGGAGAGACAGAGTCTTGGAGAGGTAATGACCCACCAGCACCTCATTCTGCTGTGCACTGCATCCAGAGCCTGCTTTGCTTCCATGGGCACTGCTGGAGGTGGCTGCTGCTGCTGTTCACTCTGCTTTGTGTCTGTCTCATCTGGGTACCGGGAGCGCTCACGGTGCTGCCTCTCGTGTGGGACTGCAGGGTCAGACACCCACATCAGCACAGGGGCAGGTCTGCAGGCTGTGCCTCTGTGCTTCCTCATAACTCCCATGGATATCCTCATCTTTGGGAATGGCAAGGTCCGGAGCATGAGGGAAAAGCCAATCACAGAATCACAGAATAATGAGGTTGGAAGAGACCTCTAAGATCATTGAGTCCAACCTATGTCCTAACACCTCAACTCAGAATCTAGACTATAGCACCAAGTGCCATGTCCAGCCTTTTTTTAAACACATCCAGAGTGGTGATTCTACCACCTCTCTGGAAAGAGCATTCCAGTACTTTATTATTCTTTCAATGTGCTGTTGTGCTGTGGAGCACCAATATTCACAGGAGGATAGGAGGAATACCATGATATTCTATGGACTAGGAGCAGCAGGACACTTGTTTCACAGATACTTAGGGGAAATACATGTCACCAGAGCACTTTGCCAGACATACTGGATAAAATTGTGTCAGGATGAAGTGCTCTTCCACCTGGGAAAGCAGGTTAATTGTGTTACAGAGATACCTGCCTCACATTTTGACCTGCTGACATTTAGTAAGGGTTCTTGTATCACATAAGAAAAAGCTATGTGATTTTTTTCTTCTAAACTTGTATGTGAAGATAATTAAAATATTTCAGATTGTTGATCCCCAATTTTCTCAGGTGAATTTCCATAGCTGCAATTACTATTTACATGCTTCCAGTGCAGTCTGTGAAGCAGGCTTTGTCATGTAATATCATCTGTCTGTGAATCAGTCTTCCTGAATGCAAATCTAAATGGATGTGGAAATGGATTTACTGCTGCAATCTCAGTGACCTTACTGACTGTAACTGAATTGAGTATGAAGATAAGTTGAAGAAGAAAGAATTACAGTAAATCATTTAGGCACCAGTGGTCTGTAGATCACCAGATCAGTGTAACTAATAATCTGCTTTCTTATCAGTGTTCTGCCCACCAGCAGGTCAGAACTGCATCAGTTTTTCTCCTTTGTTCTTAAATGTTTTATAGAGCTGATTTTTTAAATAATGAATTGGAAATTCAGCTAAGGTATAAAATAAGAGATTAACAGGTCAGAACATTACAGAATTTCTCGTCTCCAGTTTATGTTGGTAGTGAATCCAGCTGGCATCTGGTTCAAAACCACTGTGAGATGCATTGGTGACCTCTGACCAGTTCCAACAGGCCTGACCCATTCCACAAAACCTGCTACAAACACGTCTCTTGTTAGTCACACAGGGGGAACTAATCTCACCAGAGAAGGTGAACTATATGTTAATCCTTAAAGGGGAGCTTCTTACTGACAAAGCAGTGTGTTGGAAGCTGATAAAGCAATATGGTGTAAGTTGTCTGCTTTTATGCTTGTTCTGGAAATAAGCAAAAGCCTTTGGGGTTTTCTTACACCATATTTTCACCAGCATTAAAATCAGTTAATTTCTAGTGACTACCAAAATTCGTTCTGGAAACAGAAGGGGCTCTCACCTTCTTTTCAGCAGATCTCGGGTTTTCACCCAGTGCTGCTGCTGACTTCTGTCACCTTGGGCAAGTTACCTCACCTCTTTGTATCTGTTTCTCATCCCTTTCCTTGCCCTAATGAGAACACAAGCCCATTGGGGTGGAGTGATCCCTTACCCTGTGTTTGTGTCGTGGTAATCGAGTGACAGCAGTCTTGGTACAAGGTACGCATCATCTTTAAAAAGCAAAGAAGGTGACATGTTTAGTTGTGCAGTGATTTATCCTGCGTTCTCTTTGCAAAGGGTGTGTATGTGGTGTAAATAAAAGGGGACCTTCAGTTTATGCTTGTAGAACTAGAAATGCCCCTCACCATGATTTAAAAAGAAAAAAAAATCACTAGTCTCAGCAAAGAGAGATTTTTGGGTGTACGAGGGAAGATGCGCAAGAGGCACATTAGCCAAAATTAATCCAGAGATGCACACAAACCTTAATTCTAGGGAATAGGTTGCAAGAAAACGATAGATTTTAGCTACAGAAAGCAAGAAAACAGCATGGCGATGCTGAGAAGGTGGCATGGGGATGCGCTCCTGGGGCAGGGCAGGGGAGGGCAGGGCAGGGCAGGGCAGTGTAGTGCAGGGCAGTACGGGGCAGGGCAGTACGGGACAGGGCAGTATAGGGCAGTACAGGGTAGGATGGGGCAGGGCAGTGCTGGGCAGTACAGTGCAGAGCAGGGCAGTGCAGTGCAGAGCAGTACGGGGCAGGGCAGTACGGGGCAGGGCAGTACGGGGCAGGGCAGTACGGGGCAGGGCAGTACAGGGCTGGGCTGAGCTGGGCTGAGCTGAGCTGAGCTGAGCTGAGCTGAGCTGAGCTGAGCCAGTGCAGGGCAGTACGGGGCAGGGCAGTGCTGGGCAGTACAGTACAGAGCAGGGCAGTGCAGTACGGGGCAGGGCAGGGCAGTGCAGTACAGTACAGGGTAGGATGGGGCAGGGCAGTACAGTGCAGTGCTGGGCAGGGCTGGGCTGAGCTGGTTCCCGGCCGCGCTCCCTCGCTCGCCCATCCCGCGCTCTCCCGGCGCCCTCTCGCGGGGAGCGGCGCTGGCTCCGCCTGTCCTCGCCCTTGGAAACACAAACCAGATAGGAAATTTATTGTCTGCTACCGAGGAGAAAGTTCCCAGAAACTGCCAGGTATTCAGGTTCTTCAGGACCTGTCACTTCTGCCTTGCAAGCAGCAGCCTGGTGGGCACTGAGGCCGTCTTTCCTCAGCTCCAGCTTTTGTTGGGTATATATTGGGAAGCAGCACTTTACCTCTCTGTCCTTTATTTCAGGCATTCTGATTGTTGAAAGCACTAAATGCTCTGAAACACCTTTCTCTAAACAAGCAGACATGAAATAAGGATTTTTTCTAACATGATAGATGCTTCCAAATGGAGCAGGGATCCCACCTGGTAGTTCAGTTAAAAGACAGCTAAAATGGCATCAGTGTGAAATGCAGAATGACACCTGTAAAAGTTAGCAGAAATTTCCCAGACAACAAAATGACCTCACGTCAGGTATTAGAAGAGATTCTCAGATCTCAAAGCAATAGAGAATTGAGCCTGTCGCAGTATAAATTTTTATAGAAGTTTGGTCAGAACAAGCCCTCTTCCTCTTTATCTTCCCTTTCCCTTTCCCCTTCCCGTTCCTCTCCTGGAGCCATCACTGTATTTCCACTGGCTTGCTGTTCTGGGATGGAGCTGCTTTTCTCACTCGCCTGCACAGTGTATTTCAAACTGACCATAGTGTGGCCTTCTGTGACAGACCTGCTTTTGAAAGACCTGGAGAAGCAAACATTCCTTGGCAGCCTCCGGGTTTGAGATCTGCCAGTTCACCTGTGCATGATGAAACAGTAACTTGGCTGCAGAGTGAGCTTCCATTTCCCAAAAAGCCATGAGACCATGTCAGCTAGTGATGGAGTGAAAATACGTGAAAGGAAAAATACCTGGATTCAGCATGCTACTTTCTGGGCTGTCTTAGATTCCTGTGACTACCTTTTAATGTAGTGTTACCTCAGCATCCAGGTAGATGATACCAGCAGATGATAGAAATTCATTTATTTAGCGAACACATGAATTGTTAGTAGAAAAATGTGGGAATGCACCTCACAACGTGCTTTTTTCATTCATTTTGAAAGTTTTAGGTTAGCTTTCAGTTTTTGTAGAGAATGTTGTTCCAATGCACTGTGTGGAGCAAGGTTTTTACAGCTGCTGCTGTTAGATGATAGAAATTAGGAAAATACGAATATAAAAGATTTTCAAGGCTTTGATGGAAAGTAGCAAAAGTAGTTTTTAGCAGCTTTGTGGAAATATATTGAAAAGGAGATGTCCTGTATCCAATAAAAAATTTTGCTCCTTTGTTTGGATACTTAGCATTCCCAGTGTCACCAGCTCCATGAGAGTGAATGGCCTCTCAATCCAAAATTTATGGATAACTACCAGCTGGATATTTATTACCAGAAGCTCTGCATCCATTTTACACTACTGCTGTTGTACATTAGTGTAGTAGTTGGACCAGAATCAGCAGTTCTGCTTCTATTATCTTAATAGCTATATCATTCTATAAATGTGGTCTTATTTAAAAGCATAATCTCTTGCCCAGTTTATTATGACAAATAATACTGAAGTTTTGTGCACAAAGGAAATAATCCTGATCTCCCAGCTTCAAATTGCCTGGTGGTTGAAGAGCACATAACTGGTAATTACACATAGCTTTTATTCTTGTTTGTATCATCAGCATATGCATAATCATATGTTTCTTCTAAAGGCATTTCTTGCCTCAGTTTCCCTATGTGTTACAGAAACTTTTCATAATATTGTGCATATTTCTGCCCACTGGCCTTTGTACAGTTCTTGTAATTCCTGTCTGTTCTCCTTACGTAACCATGGAGGAGCACAGAGATTTAAAGGAGGTCATATCAAAGAAATGTTGATGACAACTACGTGCTCCTTTGCATGGGTATGAAATGTAAGGCCTTGGGGAAAAGCACATTTTTGCCAGAGTGTGCGCGTTGGAGGGAAAACATGCTTCATCCTGAAAGATATTCTGTATTTTGATTTTCCATGCAAAGCTCTGAGTTAAGTTTATTTACTTTTGGTTTCCATTTTAAAGATTTCTTCATGACAGGCATGGTTGTTAAATTAATAACTCCTTCTGATTTTGATCTTTACAGCTATGTTTTAATTACCACAATGATTAGATGGCTAAGATGAACTTGCATGGTACTTGACGGATTAATCACACTTAAAAAGATTCTCCCAGAAACTTTAAACATCAATGATTTATGGACCAGTCCCTGAGCCATGTGGAAAAAGCAGGTTCCAGTGCTGGAATGGTCTCAGTAATTTCTGCATTGCCACTTTACACTGTCATATGTCAGAGTACCTGCAGCAATGTTTAGATTACCATTTTCTGGCCCAGCATACGCAATGATATTTCATAACCTTATTTTTTATGTCTTTTCAGTCTCCAAGGACTTTATCACCCACCCCTTCTGCAGAAGTAAGTTTGGTGGAACCTTTGGGGGCCGTGTCCTACTGTGATTAGAATTACTCCCTCAGCCAGTGCAGGCCTTGGGTTGGTTGTCAGTCAGATCCATCTCTGTTTGCCACACAGGCATGTTTTCTCAATGTTGAAACTTAACAAAAACTATTTATAAGAAGGAAACTTGAAGCTTTTACTGTACAAGAAGTGGAGCTGCCACTCCTCCCACTGGAGCAGAACCCTTTGTCCAGCAGGCGTCACTTTGGTGCATTCCTGCTCCTTGTGGCACAGGCAGATTCAGGTCTCGAGAGCTGCAGGATTTACAGCAGATAAAATGCTGCTCTGAGCATCCAAATAACAACCCATGTTTGCTGCTGAAACATTTGCAATTTTGTCTTGAAGAAAACGTAACTATGGTCTGGTTTGGTTTTGCTTTGCTGGAGGAGTTAATTTGAACATCATAATAATATGTTGGGAAGTCATTTGTCAGGATACAATAGATGCCCTTGCAGAGTCATTATCATTGCATTATCCTGTTGCTTATTTGCAACATAAAAGCTGCACTTATTGCTACTAGTTAAAAATTAAGGAACTGTAAAATTTCTTGTAAATCTTCATGCATTAATCAGTGCTGGTTTAGTTTGCTTCATGGATGGGTGGTGGGGGGGGTGAGGGTGTAGTTTGTTTTGAGGTTTTTTTGTTTGTTTCTTTCATTGGCTTTTTTTACCCCCAGGAAACCAAGTAAACTGAATTTTGCCGTAGAAGGTGTCATGTTTTTATAAATCTGATTTGGATATAAATACCTGCTGATGTAGCTGGTGACATATGGTCTGTTTAGCCACAGAGAGCTCTGTGCTGCAGCTATTGAATTCTTTCTGGTCTCCAAGTTAGCTTGCTGATGGCTCGTGTGTCTTGTGTCCAGTGCAGGACACACATGCTCTGGATGCAGCTTCCCTTGTGGAGTCAGGGAATGTGGACAAATCTAGGATTATTGTAGAGTTTAATAGAAATTACAGGTGGAGCTGGAACCTTCCACGACTGAATTCTGACTATAAAAATGGGCTGGAGCAGGTCCTTGGAGAGCAGAGCTAATTAAGTAGGTTGAAAGCTTAAGGGGTGTTGCTATTTCAGTCGCTTCTGCTGATGCCTTCAGATCCACAGAACTTTAGTGCTGCTAAAAATGTGTTCTGTGCTTTTACATTTACCAGTGGCTGCCTCTGTCCTGCAGGGCTACCAGGACGTTCGGGACCGCATGATTCACCGGTCTACCAGCCAGGGCTCCATTAACTCTCCCGTGTACAGCCGGCACAGCTACACCCCCACCATGTCACGTTCCCCCCAGCACTTCCACAGACCTGGTAAGGCCAACTGCATTGCAAATCCATGCAAAAATATTGTTTCTTTATTATGCCACTCAGTGGTGCAGTGAAGCACTTCTTTCTCTTAGAAGTGGAAGTTTAGGATTGAAAAATTGTTGTATATTTTAATGTCTCATTTTCTACCTGTTTTTTTTATTCTGGATTGACGTAGTCTTTTGCACTAGGCTGACTGTTTCTTGCATCATAAATATGCATCTTCTGGTTTTGTTTCCAGTCAGTTATTTTAAAAATATTTGTATGTTTCTGAAAGCAAGCGAAATTTTGCAGCAGTGAATCGCAAAGTTCATTGGGATTTTGGGAAAAGTATCACATATTGGAAACAAAAATTATGGCTTGACTGTACAGAAGTTAGCAATTTAGGTTTATTCCCTTGTAAAAAATTCCTTTAAAGCTTGGTGCAGCCATAGAATCTCATATTCAGAAGCAAAACACCCATGTGTTCCAAATTGCTTGTCATTTTTTAAGACATGGACTCAGGAAGTATCTGTTTAATTAAAGCTGTAGGCAGTTGTCTGGGAACACTTGAAAACATACTTTACTTTCTGTTTTAGCAGTGACATACAAGTCCTATGTACAGTATAGAAAATGTACAGGTCATTCAGGTTCCCAGTGTCTTCAAAATTACTGGTTATGTATCTAAAAGCAAGATATGAAAATGAACTGTTCATCCGCACCCAAAATGCTTAAAAATGTATGGCTACATGCTATTCATTGAAGACTTTTCAAGACTGATTTTGTTGTGTATGGTGATGAATTAAACCTTTGTGATCTGTTTTTAAATTAATTGATACAATTGCAGGGTTTCATCTTCCTTGGTGATTACAGCTGAACAGTTGGGATGCCAAAAGCCCATATGCAATAGGAGCTGCATTTTTAAAATTAAAGATTTATCATAGAGCCACCACTGTGGAACTTGAATGCTGTAGCCATTTCCTAGTGGGGGTGGGCTGAAAGCAGCCAATTGTGTCTGTCAGTGAATGCCTTATTTAAGGGACCCAAGGGAGGTGGGACAGAAGCAAATTGTGTCTGATACTTAGTGCTGACAGCATGGCTGTGTTTTAAGACGACGTTACAACTGAAACTGAAAGAGACTTGAAAACGTGAAAAAGCTGCAAACTTCTGTCCCTTGGTTCTCCATGTCTGAGGGGATTTTTCCATTTTTATCTGTTGTCTCACGGATATGAACAAATCCAGGTCCTATTCCAGACTTGACTGTGATTGAGTTTTACTGACTGTGTTCAGTCAAAGACCTTCCCCAGAAGCAATCTCAGTTTATGTAACTCTTGTGATGGGCAGATGGGCTCGAGCCAGACTTGTGATCCAATGTAAAATCTTCCAAAGTCCACAGCCTGAAGGATTTTCTGGAGAGATATTTGTTCAAACTTATCTATGTTCAGATGATCTCATCTTGGGCTCACCTGTTACTGGTCCTCATATGACACAGAAGTAATTCTGTATAATTTGTCATTTGGTGTTTCCTACCCTGTTTTGGGGTAATTGTTAAAGCTACTTAATAATTTTCCTTTGGTAATTGTTTATTGAGTAATAGCTCAAATATATATGGATTTTTCCTCCTAAGAGCACTTCTTTTCACCATGTTATTTTGCAAGAATAATTTCTCTCTGAATAAACTCAGTGGCCCCAGATCACTTCTCTTTTGCTCCCAGCTAGCCCTTGAGAGAGAAGTGAACTGTTGTACTGACGTTGTCAGGATAAGGTTCTTCAAAAATCGAGTGCTACAAGTTCTGAAAAAGTTTGCAGCCTTTTCCACCCCTGGTGCCCTAGCTGATGTTGGCAGCATTTTTGGAATGTCTTAAAACAATAGAAAACAGCTTGCATGCCTCTTGACTGACATTTTTTGGTCAGGGACTTTTCAAACCAGCTGCTTTCTTAACTAATTGAGCGTCAGTGTTTGTGATGTTTGCATGCTGGTAGCAGGCTACTTTCTGGTAACAAGGCATTGCTCAGAAGCTCGTTAAGCCAATGATGTTATGCTAAATTAGCGATGCAGTTCAAACCTAAGCCTCTCTCCTAACACTTCCTGTAATTATGTCTTAACATTTACGGGCCCTTTGGTGCGTCTTTAACCGTTCTGTTGTTTTTTTCTCCTTCCTTCTTTCCAGAATCCTAATTGTTCAATGCCTTTTTTTTTCTGCTTCCTTCGAAGCCTCCTTCCCTGCCTGTCTCTTATTGCTTTTCTTTGTCTCCGTTCTGTCCTGCCCCCGCCTCCCCGCCGCCGCAGAGCTGCTGGCTCTGGGCGCGCGGCGCGTGGCACCCCCGCGCTCCAGCGGCCCCGCGCTCCATGACTCCCGCCCCAACTCCCCATTCCGACACCACTTCATCCCCCATGTCAAAGGTAAGGAGCCAGGCCTCTCTCCAGGGAGTACCCTCCAGGCTGGAGATGTGTTAGCGCCCTGGCAGAGCTGTCAAGGCGTGTCTCTGGGAGGTTGCCTATGGCTGTGGAGCTGAGCATGCCTCGAAATGTGCTGTTGCACTCAGAACTATGTGTAGAATAGACATAATGTCCTTTTTTTTGGAGGAAATATGTCATTTCTAAGGGCCCTAGTTGAAGAGTCACCAAGCTTATACCTGGTAGAAATACACAGAAAAGCATTCTCATTTGTTACTCAGAACCTGTATGTGCCGAATTTAGCTTCTGTCTAAAGCAGTACACAACAATCCCTTCAGAAATTAGTTTATCAAATTTAATTATTACTGCCCCATTCTTAAAACATGCAGTGAAAATTTGATTACAGCATTGCCTGAGTGAGAGCAAGGTGACCAAAACTATGAAGAAGAAAAAAAAAGACATTATATAAAGATCAATGGCGAAAAGGATCTTAATCTTTGTTGTTCACCTTGGCACTAATTAGGGCCCAACAAAATCACATTAAAATCTTTAGGCCTCTCCTCAACTAGTGCAGATCAGCAGGCTCTGCTGAAGGCAGTAGCACTGCAAGGATTTACATTATTTGAGGACCTGGTCTTTTCTTCAATCTTTTACTTTCTATGGTTTGATTTGGAGGAGGATTCTTCTTTCGCTGAGTCCCTTCAAGGGACTCATTTAGCTCAGCAAGCTTTTAGTTTTGTTTCCTGCTTTTTGTGAATGTGGTTTTACTCTGAGTTCTATTGGAGTATTTGGCTGGGCCATCTCTTCTGTTTGAGGGGAGAAGGTCAGAGCTTGTATCACCTACAAGAGCTCAAAAAGAGAAAGTTGAGTAAATTGAACATAGATTCCAATCTGGCACCCTTGACTAATACAGATATTCATTCTGTATTCATTCAAACTGGAGATAATCAAAAGCAATTGTAAGAAAGTTATTGTCATGAAGTTTCAAGAAATGCTAATAGATCTCAACATCATAGCTCTTTAAGCATTCAGATCACCACCATTAATTTTACTCTTCCCTTTTTTAAGATGACTTTTGATAATCTGCACTGTCCACTTTTCTGCTATGTCTCTATTTTTAAAAAAAAATCTCACTTAAAAAGATTGGGACCCTTAAAAATAGCTATACTGCTCATTTCAGCATGCAGTTAATTCATAGCCCTTGCAGTTTCAACCTTTCTTTGCTGTAAATCCAAATTAATGCTCACACTCTTTCAGGTGGCATTCATTCTTTTTCTGTTGAGAAAATAGCTTCTTCAACAGACAGATGAGAAGAACTATTGGAAATCCATGCTTATTGTTTTCAGATTGCAAAGAATCACCTTGGCATCTAGGTCAGGTATCTTTCTCAGTTATTGCTGGAAAAGGCTGTGTGGGATTGCAAGTGCTGTAGACAGAGCGGGGGAGTATGGTTTTTACCAGGTATGTCCTGAAAGAAGTAGGAATCCTCAATTTTCTGAAGGCCTGAACAGCATTTATGTGTCATAACTCAGCCAAGCTCCTGAAAGCTCAAATTTGTATTGCTGTGACAGAAGAGGTACCATGTGATCTTTTTAGTGGCTCAGCTTTTCTCACTTGTACTTTTAGCAAGAAGGTGACCTTGATGTTGGTTTGTGAGAAAGATTTCACAAAACAATAACTTTTGGGGTTTTTCCCTTCAGGAGTCAGAAAATACAGATCATGGTCTCAACTGCTTTGGTAAAGGGGCATGATTTCCCAGCAGCATAATGATAACTGAAGTGTAATATGACACTTTACACCTGTGTTATTTTGTATACTCAGGCCAGAAAAGAAGACATTTAGACCAGTTTCAGTGTGTTTTCATACAACATAAGGCTTAAAGAAGCATAATGATTAAACCTCATAAACACAGCCAAAAGTAAAGAAATTGGAGGAGTGAAAGGGGCTAGACACGCCTTAGAGTGAGAGTTTGTTGATGTAACATATATGTTGAAAAAGCTGGAAGAGTGTGTAATATACATCAGCTTAGACTTCATTTAATCTAATTTGGACTCTCCATTGAATTTGGTCTTGTCTCAATAAAGCACTGTCTTTGCTATGAAAGAATCAAAACAAGTCCACGAATGAAAGAAACCCTGACCCTTCTGAAATCAGAGACAAAACCCTCATTGAGAGTCAGGATTTCATCTTGCATGCCTAGAATTTTTCAGAGGCATTCAAGAATATTGCAAAGCCCCCATAAGATTTCCATGTAAAAGTGGTCCAAAGTAATGTGTATTCCTTTGCTCTGACAGACCTTCCCATGAAGAGTCTACCCACCTTCATAGAGAATTTGGACCTTGGTTTTCACAGGTTCCCCCTTTCCTTCCTTGAGGCAGGTCTCTGAAATCAAATGCTTTCTGTACCTGGTAACTATTTCCAGGGTTTTGTGGATGCAGGTGAAAGTTCTGCTCTGGAAGACGTTTGTGTATTGGCTTTTCAATGATTGTCAGTTTTGTGTGTGAAATCAGGTCTGCACATCTGGACAAGAAGATGTATGATAGTTTGACAAAACCTGAATAGGAGTAAGGGTTTCAGGTAATGTTGAGCTTGTTTTCCTCTGTCTGCTCAGAAATAGAGCAACTAAACTGGAGCCTGACAGAAGGCTCAGTGCTGGTTGCATATGGGTTTTTTGGCCTGATTCTGTGAGCTGAGCTTGTGAATCCCGCAGTGAGCCCAGTGGTGAGCCCTTCAGAAGGCAGCAGGGACCTGCATTACACTGGGCTGTGTGTGGGCAAGCAGTTCTATTCTTGGCTGTTAGGGCAGCTTGCCTAACAAATTCAGCTGTAGAAAACAACTACCTGATGGGGCAAAGAGAATGAAAGTAAAAAAAGTCTCTGAATTTCCCTTTTGCTGTGCTGTAGTGATTGATTTTTACATTAAGCTTGTTCCATTATCTCTTAACATCCCCCCACCTACACACAGACATATTCAACTTCATGACAAGAATGTGAGAATTAGGTCTTTCTACAGTGTTGGTGAACTGGAGTGCTCTTGTTGCTTTGGGGAGTTAAGAGTAGTTACAGCATATCTGCAACAGTAAGAGAGCCATTTCTGTGCAGGCAGGGAACCCAAATTTAATGGGTTTTTATGTAAAGATGCAAGCAGGCTGGCCATGAGGCCCTGGGAGACAGGCACAGGCAGCCAGGAGCTCTGCTTTCCTCTGTGCATGTGCACATTCCACACATGTTGGCACTGCTTCCATAAATTGTGGGTGGTTTTGCAGCTGCATCCCAAGCACTTAAGCCTTGTTATGAGAGTGGGCTCCTCAGGGATGGCCTAATGGGAATCTTAAGTGGATGTACCATTCCTTTTTGAACAGATTGGAGGCAATGAGGCTGCCATCCTAGGAAGTGTAAAGGGAAGTTATTTGTTACTACTAGCAGGAGTCATTAGGTACCCTAGGAAATAGAAGCCAACAGAGGCATCTGTAAAGCATCACATGCAGGATGATACCACAGTAACTCTGCCTGGTGCTGGGTGCCTTATACAACATGTCCAGTTCTCTCTGAACAAATTATCAGATGCAAGACCAGCCAGCATACATTTATGGGTGTGAGCACACTTAGTTGTGTCTAGAGATAGAGAGGGGTCTAAGAAGGGTTTCTTCCCTGTATTTGTAGTGTTGGTGATAGAAGCATTGCAAATTGAACATGCACATATTTAGTCTACCAGTTCCCAACAGGTAAAATGTATTTGTGACTCCTCTGTTGAGACAAGTCCACAGGTGAATAAATCCCTTTTGTTTTTTCCCTTCCATTGAGTATAATTGCCAAAGGAAGCAAAAAGGCAGAGCGATGTGTTCTCTATAAATGACTAACTGTACCTCAAGACATATTAATATTGATGGGGTTTTTTTTTCCTTATAAAACAATGATTTTGCTGAAAAGTAACTCAATTTCTCGGTAGAATCAAGAAACATAATCAAGAAACACCTCACAATGATGTGAGGTGTTTCACCATCACAACATCTCAGTGGGTGGAGAAGTAGAAGACAATATTGGCATTGCTAAGTAGTAAGTAAAATGAAGTGAGGTGTTTCACCATCACAACATCTCAGTGGGTGGAGAAGTAGAAGACAATATTGGCATTGCTAAGTAATGAGCCATAGATTGACATAATCAATAATGTTTAACCATTCATGCTGCTTTTCAGGTTAGCAAACCTAGCCCTTACTGTTAGCTGGCCAGAATCACTGCACTCAGAATAGAAAACCACCATCAACACATGTGGTTGAGAGAGCTTCATGTCATTTAGGGCTCAAATGTCTAAGTGCTAAATACAGAATTTTGCACATGCATTCTTCTGGACGAATTTTGTATAGCCAAGCCCCCCTGAACTTTGCATGTAATTTTTAAAACATTCATATGTAGTGGTTAACTTGTATACTGGCTGAAGCCTCTGGTGCACATTTCAGCAAGGTTTGTAAAAGAGCTTTTTTGTTCCCTTTAGTGCCTTTTAGATTGGTAGATGACTGTTCAAGTAAAAGAGGATTTCTTGTGTAAATTGTAAAGAAAACTTCTTTTTTCCTTCTCCCACACCTATTTCCCCACCCCAAATAGATAAATAGTGTGCTGAGTCTATGATTTTGGGTCCTCTAACAGGACACAGGAAGCAGGCCTGAAATTTATTTTTTCTTATGTTTTATAGCCCTTCTGTATTTGTTATCATTCTCTCCCCCTCTCTACATTTTTTCCCCTGCTTTCTTAATCAACATTTCTAGGGTTTTTTAAGCCCTTGTGCATACTCTAAAAATGGCAGGGATTTGATGTTCCCCTGCTTTTCACTGCTGGGGTCACCCCCTCCCATGTGCAACAAGCACCCATGTGGATGGTTTTTCTTTGTGTGAGTTTGCTCTAGTTTGATGAACGGTACAATAAAAGAGGCAGCTGCATTCTTTCAAGGTACACACCCAGAGATGTGAATGGATATCTGGCTGTTAAGTCTTGATCCTCAGGCTCCACCATGGTGGTTGTGCAGCAGCCCTCACTCAACCCTGACACGGCACAGAAACTTTTAGGGCCGCTCGATTGCTGTGCTGCATTGTCAGGAGGCAGAGGGGTAGTCTCAGGAAGAGTAATCCTCCAAATGGCACAAACTGTGTGTATGAACTAGAACTAAGGTTTTTAGGTACTAGATTCAGCTTTGCTGAATCAGCAGTGGTGAAGTATTGTCATCAGAAACAAATTTAGCATCGACAGAGATTTGGAGCGGCACGAACGAGGTGTGTGCAGCCACCAGATGGGCTGCACTGCTTTACAAATTATTTTGCCGTATCAGAATTTTCCTAAACCAATGAAAGAGTGTTGGTGGAACAGTTATGCCTTTTGATATGGGCCAAGTGACCTAATAGCTATTTTCTGTTTCTGGTTTCTGTACACTTTTGGTTTAGTGAACTGTAGTACCTGCCAGCATCTGCTTCTCTCTGCTTTGGGTTTGCATATCAACTACTCTGCTCCGTGTTTGCGCCTTTTAATTCCAAATATCAATCTCCGTACTAAAAAATCATTGCTAAGTAACCTTCCATTCTTCTTTTCTATACTGCTCATCTAATCACCAGCTACGAGTGCACAGCTCCTGCCTGCATGCCGTCAGAATGAGTCTGAGCTGCTCAAACCTCAACTCCAGCCTGAACATGAATTTTTGTCTCTGCAGGAATATCAGGGGGGAAAAAAGTCACCAGGGCTACTACTAATTCTGCTTATTGTTTGTATTTATACTTTTAGTTCAGCTTCTTTTCTCCCTGGAGGTTTTGATTCCACCAGTTTTGTTTGGGTTTGATTGGGCTTGCTTTTTTTTTTTAATTTTTAATTTTCTTTTTTATTATTGCTCTCCCTCTTCTCATTTTGTTTTCTCCATTCTTTCATTGGAGGCAATGAGCCGTCCAGCGGTCGGAACTCCCCTGTCCCCTATCGGCCTGACAGTCGCCCTCTCACTCCAACTTACGCTCAGGCCCCTAAACATTTCCATGTTCCAGGTAGGAGCTGGCACTGTGTGTGTCTCGCTGTCCTGTCACAGTGTAGAATGTAGCCTTTGTAACTTCTGTCTTGTCTCCATCGTTTCACACCGTTTACCATGGGTTGCACCCTCAGGATTTGGAACTGCTTCTGGGCTTGCTGAGAGGAGTAGTGCCTTAAGAAACACAGGGGTTTATTGTGATTTTTTGGCTGCTCTCTTGGTCAGGTGTTTCACTCTTAGGATGCTTAATTTTTCATTGTTGTTCGATGGCCTGTGAACTGTATATGAACTATGTAGGGCCTGATTTTTCTCCCAGTTGCACCAGCTGAGTGCCAGCATAGCTCTCCTAATTTTAGAGGAGTTGGTTTTGAGTCACATGCAGAAAAGAGATGGCCAGTAAGCCATTACATATATTGTTCATTCAGATTGTTGTGGCTGGTTTCAGTCTTAACACAGCAATTCTAGTTTAGTGTCCCTTTCTTTTTAAAGCAGGTGAGGTTGTTTCTTGTTCTGTGCAATGGCTTGGTGTCCTCAGAGAGTCCTGCAGATCCACAAGGATATGTGTGCCTTAGGATGTCCTTTCTACAGAGAGCAGTCTCTGCTTTGAAGCGAGCTCTGCAGTTCTTCCAGCATCTGAGAAAACCATATGACTTGGATTTTGATGGGATGAGCTGTGCGTCCCTAGGGTTTGGACATGCATCTGGCTGCTTCAGCACTAGCTGAAAGCCTTGTTCTGTCCAGTTACTTTCATATTCCTTTCAGCCTGGTGTTCCTCCTCACTGCCAGAAGTTACTGCCCTTCCTCCTCTCCTCAAATCTGGCAGATAAACAGTTTGTGCACCCCCCCTTTCAGTCAGGGTGACCCGGCTTGGCTGAGGTTGGCTCTTTTAACCGCTTAAGCTCACCTGGCTCTCAGTGCCTCACCTAAACTCAAGCCTAATTGCATGAATAGCTGTGAGAAATGACCTGGAGCATGGTGTGGGAGCTCTCCTCGCCAGCTGGGGCCCTGCAGCCACGGAAGGAGCTGTGCTCCCATCCTCCCTGGAGCTTTCTGGTGTCCGTGTGCGCAGAAGGACTGCATGATTACCCTTGAAATGTTCCTACCTGTTTCCTGGTCAAGTGGCCATAACAGGTTCCACACAGGAATTAAATACCACAGCCTTTGTGTGCAATGAGTTTGCCTGTTTATTTAAGGATGTAGGGTTCTGCAGAGTAAGATTTGCCTCTGTTTCAATAGATTTTTAAGTTTAACTTTCCTTAACACCAAAGGCAAAGTTGTCTCTTATAAGACTTTAATTGGATCTGTGATACAGCACATGTTTTTCTGAAATTCCTTTTCATCTTTCACTCTAATGTAATTGAAAACTTTTTTCAGGCAGCATAAAGTAGCAAGATGGATTTCTGACATTAATTTTCTAGCTCCCTGTAGCTCAGTTTGCTCTTCTAATAAGATTTTGGCACATTTTTGCACTGTAGTGCTGATTTTGGATTAGCTTCTGTATTTGTTGCTCTGCTGAATACATGAAATGTTGGCTGGGGTGGGAAGGTAGTTTAGAACAAAATGGTTCCTGTCTTAGATTATTATTTGGAAAAATGTGGTATAATTTAGACATGCTGTAGATTTTACTGCATTAGAGTTCTGGGAAGTGTTTATTCTGATTTACATTGGTAATATGCAATATGGTGGGCCTTGTGTAAAAAAATTACAGAAAAAAGAAAAATCTGTCCTTATGTTTTGAGAAGTAGTAGCATATCAGTGAACACGGCATAAAGAATCCCTTTGACTCACTGAAGTGTGGCTGTTGTTGCCTGTTCATAGCAGTGTTCTAGGTGGCTGTTTTGTTCTCTGGATTTTGAAGTGAATTGTAGGCTCACTGCATTCTCCTCTGTTCAATCCAGCCAGTCAGTTGGAAAGAAAATTGAGCTGTTCTGACTGAAGCACAATTTTCCACAGAAAAGTTATTTGGGGTAGTTTTCCCCAAATGGCTTGTATCTTCACCATTGAAATGTCTTGCCTGCTTACATTTCTTCTCTTTTATCCCACTTTAAAATTGATGGTTCATGAGTTGATGCATCCACATGTTACAGAATCAGCTCCAAAGGACTTCATACCTCATGTCTTTGACTTTTCACTTGTTGTTATGTTTCTTTTCTTTAAATAATCTGTTTTTGTATAATACTAGAAATAGTTTTCTGGCTTTTTCTTGTGCTACATCCTTGATTTGGTCTATCTATTGCTCTAGTGGTTGAGTTATCTTTATCTACAACTGAAGTAGTTTTCACATTCCCTTTTTTCTGTTTCTTAATATCACAGATCAAGGTGTCAACATTTACAGGAAACCACCCATCTACAAACAGCACGGTAAATGACCTTTCCCTTTTTATTCCAAAACTGAAGTGTCAACTGAATTTAAAAGTGTGCAATTAGTGAAAAGCATTCAGTTTTTGCTTTGCAAGCACAAAAATTTAGTAGTCCAAGCTTGAAGCAGCTGTAATTGCATGTCCTGGAAAGTGATTATGTTTTAAAGCCTGTTGTTTTGTTTGGATTATATGGCTTAATCTTGCCATGTGGATATTAATGGCAAAATTGTTATTGGCTGACATTTTGCTGTTTGCATTATGATACCTTCCAGCATTTCTCTTCTTTAAGCTTTTATTTTAAGAGTACAGGTACTGGTCATGTTAAAATGGATTAACAGTAGACTGATCTCTGACAGGGACTTAACAAAATACCTTATATTAAACAGATACAGTACAATAATTTATTTCAGCAGCAAAGATGGAGATGTTATAATCAGACTGGAATTCCAAATGGGGTTTTAAATAAGACTCTTTAATTTAATGTTGTTTTAAATAAGAATCTTTAATTAGTGAAGATGTTATAGGTGACTTATCAGTGACAGGGCTAATTTGACTCTCAGCCATGTGATGCAGCTCATGTAGTTTGCTGTACTTGTTTTTCCAGGTGTTTGGGTTCTGAGTTGGACAGCAGTGTTAGTGCTCTGAGCTTTTTGGTGTTGGTGGTGTCATAGCAAGTCTGAAATGGCGATGATGGCAGAAGCCCACAGCCTTGCCTGTCTTTAGTCCCACAGGAGAAGGCTGCATCATAAAGGAGTGTGTTCACTCTTATAAGGAACATTATAGAGGAATCATCATAAAGGAGTGTGTTCACTCCTTTATTCCTCCTGCTGTGGACAGACAGCTGTGCATAGGAGATGGTTTTTATTTACCTCAGTGAAAGACAGATGACTCCACTATTTGTAGACTGACTTTTCATCCCTTTGCAGATGTTTTATCCAGTGAAATGTATTTAGGGTTAAGTAGCAAATCAGCAGCACTGCAGGGCTTAGATGAACAGTAGGCTGAGAGCCATTGAGCTGGGGTGAGCAGGAAGCCCACAAGTCCATTCTGTAGTCAGGAGTGAGCACTGCAGATTACGCTGCTCTGGTATCACATCAGGGTCTTCCCCTCTTTCTTTTTTTAAGTTTCAAACCATAAACTCATTTTGAAAAAAAAGTCTTAACATTTTTTCTGTTTATTTTTACGGTTTTAATGTATCTCCTCACCTCCCATTAACATGTGAATGTTTAACCACTGACATCACCAATTCTAATACGTAAGTACTGTTTGAAGTCATGCTTTTGTAAACTCTGACCAGCCTCCTCCATGCCTGCAGTTATGCTTAGAGTTTTCCAACCATCAGCTGCTCAGAATTCCCAGTGATACCTAACACTGACATTGCTCAACTACCTGGAATGTGTTGGATGAGCAACACAGCGCATCACTTTGTTAAAAAATGTCTTTCTGTTAAAAAAAGAAAAAAAAAGAGAAAAGGAAAGAAAATTCTGGAATCATTGCTACTGATACAATAGCCTCATATAAGCAAAGGTGATTTGAGCTAACATTTTCTGGCTCAGACGTAGTTAAGTTTGGGTTTAATATACACTGAATCCTATTAGATGATTCTTTTTGTTTTTTAAGAAGAGAAAGCCATAATGCACATCCTCACATGCTTTGACAAGGCTTTGGCTTAAAATGGAATTTAAGTGGAAGCCCTTCTACCAAGCTATTTTGTTGGTGAGGTTCATTGCTTTGCAAGTGCCTTGCCTTGTCAGGTTGATCTTAATGGAGTTTAGTATTTATTAATAAGTTCATATCTGGTTTTACTACAACTGAATGCTCTAAGCAAGGGCATGCAGCACAAAAAAAAATCCCCTAGTTAAACATATTAGTTTCAGGTTTCTTTTTTCCTTTGTTTTGCTGCTTTTCACAGATAAAATAATTAGCATCAGTAGTGTTAGGATTTGTGCTGTTACTCTGATCTATTTGTTTGCTTCCCGTAGAGGGAAAGCTTATTAGTACATAAATCTGAGCTCATCTTCATAAATAATCAGCTGTCCTTAGGAGATATTGGCAAATACTGTTAGGCTACATTTTCTCACTCTTGCATAATCATTCTTACACTGTGAAACCCTAGTAAAATCCAAAGCTGATTTGGGGTTATCTTTGGGGTGGGGATGCGGGAGGAGAGGAAGCTTTGATTCCAATCTATTGGCAAGAAAAAGGCATTGCTTTGCTTCAAACTGCAGTTGGAAAAGCAAAACATGAAAATGTTTGCTTTTGAAAACTAACTTCTTGTAGAGTATAAAATTTTGCCAAAATGAGGCTGACTTTGTGCTGCTCCTGATCATGACATGGCTAAGTTCCCTGATTGCCATCTAGATGCAGCTGCCTTGGCAGCACAGAGCAAGTCCTCCGAGGATATCATCAAGTCCTCCAAGTTCCCAGCAGCTCATGCACCAGCACCCAACGAGATACCAAAGATTGAGACTGACCACTGGCCAGGCCCTCCCTCCCTGGCTGCCGTAGGTATGGAAACACAAACCCTTCATCTCTGCAGCTCCAAAGGTACTGCTGACCAGGGGACATGGACAGCACAGCTGGAAAAAGGTGTAGGAAAGGTGGTGTCCACCTGATGCTCACCACAAAGTGTAGTTCTGCTGGTGAGACCACTGAGTGTCTGAGTCTAAAACTGTTGAATTGCACTGAGTAGAAGAGGCTTTGCTAAAGGACTTTGGGATTGATCACACAGATATTAACCCATAAGCAAATTTTTTGAACTCTAGTGCAGTAGCTTAAAAAGTGTGGTGTGTCACACAATCCTGACTTCTCTCAGCTATTCTATTTAATCTTTTAGTCCAAAGCTAATAGCAGAAATTCCACAGACAACATGATTGTTTCCAACCACATGACTAATTTCATGGCAAGAAGCAACAACTGAATTGGAACAATTAACAGACTAAATAATTCCTGATTTTCAGAGTTACTGTTTCTACAGACTTTGTATTTTTCTTTTGTGTTGTAGCACTACCTATATTTTATTTTCTTTTCTTTAATCCATGTGCATAATCAAGTTAATTTTTTTTCTTTGTATTTTTTCCCTCTGTTGTGTTTTTATTGACCCCTGTAGCATAAAATAAGCAATCTAGCCTGGTTCATTCCTGAAGTTATGGCTGAAGCACTGAGGTGTTGCTTGATTCAGGTCTCTGTGAGGGAATATATGGCTTTCATAAGAGTAGGATCTTCACAGAAGTTTTGGGAGAGGCGGCACAGGGTGGGAGAGCTCAAGAGACCAACCGAAGGGGCTGTACATGAAGCAGCAGCTTTTTGAAAATGTCTTTAGTTGGGATTGCAGCCTGACAAACATGTAAAGTCCCTGAGTCACAGGAATAACATCAACATACTTGAAGCTCTGTCATCTACATATTTGAAATGTCTACATACTTTAAACACTGTGAGTTTGTCTAGCACAGGGTTGGTAAATAACTGTATCAGAAAAAGCCCTCTGTAGAAAAAACAGAACTGCTGTCTAAATGCTTGCAGCAATAGCACATTCTGTGTATTCATGGAATTGTCCTGGCATCCAGACTAGATTATTTCTTAAGAATATTCAAGAAAATAAAAATTATTCAATAAAAACTAAGGAACTAAAATGTAGAACACCTGTGCCTTTATTTATTTTAGCTTTATCCAATGGATCAAATTATTTTACTTCATTTTAGACTAAAACCAATGCCTTGTTTATTTCAAATATGACTGTTCATTTAGGAGACTAATGTAGTTTCATTTTCCATTTGAAATGTTAATTCAGATTTGCTTCTCTGAGTCTAGATAAAAGGGTGAATGTAAATCAGACTTTAGGTTTTCAGCTGTGATCAGTTGCTGGTGTTATTAAACCTTATGTTTCCAGAACCAGCAATGTGAGCTCCTTTCTCTATAGGGTCAGTCATGACTTTTGTATCCAGGACCATTGCTTGGTTTGGAACTTGTGTGTAGTTTATGTTCTTTAGTTTATAGCAAACCTGATAACCATAGGGCAGGCTACCCAAGTGAGTTTTATTAAGAAGGAATTTTTGAATAAGTCTTTTGGCTTTGCAAGGAAATACTGCTTTGTTTATTCAGCAAATCAAACTGACCAGTTCTGTGAGCTAGCATTGAAATATTCAAGCTGCAGTTGAACTGATGCACAAAGCTTTCTCTGTGCTGTGGTTTTGTGGAAGCAGGAGCTGACATGAGACGCAGATCAAGTGGAAGGGAGGAAGATGATGAGGAGCTGCAGAGACGCCGGCAGCTGCAGGAGGAGCAGCTCATGAAGGTGGTTATAAGCTTGTCCTTGTGCTGTTTCTGAGCACCATCCAAAAAGTGCCCCTTTGCTTTCTGTAAGCAAATCCACTGTCTTGGTCAGCTTTATTTTATTGATATGTTTTTTTTTAATTGCCATTTGTAGCTCAACTCTGGTCTGGGACAGTTAATATTGAAGGAAGAGATGGAAAAGGAGAGTCGCGGTAGGTCAGCCCTTTCTGCCAGTCGTTACGATTCTCCAGGTAATTCATGGAGGCAATAATGCTAATCGTGAACAATGGGTAGTAAACACCACAGAGTGCACACACCCACTAGAATACACATATCAAGTAGTGTCCCAGAAGAGAGACAGCTGGGAAAGCTGCTTGATATGTGTTTATGTGGTGATCTGCCCTGAAAGAGTGGCCTGATTCATCACCTGCTTTTGTAAGGGGAGGAATGTCATGGTTGTTTTTCTAATTAGAAGAAACAGGAGGCTGAGGATTTTCAGGCAATTTTGAGGAGAGAGCTGCTTTAATATAGTTATGAAGTGGGGTGAAGTGTTCAGTGACTCTGACATCACACACAAGCTTATAGGCTGGGTCATTAAATTACAGCAACACATTTTGCTTACACTGGTGGTTCCTGTCGCTGCTTAGTCTCTTCTCCCAGGGAAAGATACTCACCATTATTGACCAGTGGGGCTGCATATTCCAAACACAGCCAGTGTTGTGACCTGGGCTGACATTTTAATTGGGTGTATTTTGCTCCAAAACAAAAGCATAAAAGCTAACTTAGATTAGTGACTTAGATTCTTTGCCTCGTTGCACATTTTTATGTATGGCTGCAGCCTTCTCACATCTCCAGAGAAGGGTTTGGGGGTTTTATTTTATTGTCTTCATTCACCAGCCATGGTAACATGAAAGCTGTACTTTGAGCCAAGAGGAGACAAGATGAGTCTCTGGAGTCATCCACTGGAGCAGTTGCCAAGCAAACTAAGATATCCTTGTGTTCCCTGCTTTATAAATGTGTTGCCTTGATGGCCTTGGAGAGGATTCCTATGGCTCTCACTCACTGTCTTAAATTTTTATGGGGCCAGAGTCTATCTGCTCAACTCAAAGCTTATGATGTTTTTATTAACCTTAGCAAAGTTTGGAGAACTCCTTTATCTGAGATGTGTCCATCCCTCTTTGCAGGGATAACCAGTGCCATCATCATTTCCCTTTTGGAATCAGGGGTGATGCCAAAGCAGATGCCATGGATGATCCATGAGCATTGTTTTCAGTCAAGGGCAGACCACCTTGATTTTGAGCCTGGGAAAATCAGTGTCCCTTATTAATGGCCTGCCACCATGGCATGAAAAAGCTGTTTGTAACTTATAGAATGTGTGGAAGTTTGTGCTGAGTTTGGGACTCAGTTTCTTAAAATCATTGTGTTTCACTTGTGTGTATGCTTGGCTCTTTTAACTGTGTATTTTGTAACAGGTGATTCCTCAAGTGCTCTAGTTTTTTAGTTTCCATGGGATTTTTCCAGTAAAATATTTTCCCTTCCTCATTCAACAGCACATGCTTCAGCCTCCAAAACCTCTTCTCTCCCTGGGTATGGAAAAAATGGACTTCACAGGGTAAGAAGATAGTGATTTTGAGAAGTGAAAGGTGGCTTTAATTATCCATGGCATTTATTTCCATATCAATTGTATTGGATTTCCAGTTTGATAAATGTTTCTTATAAAACCACCTGTAGTCAGACCAAACCTATTTTCCCCTCCCGCAAACTACTTTGTTAAAAAGGCAAGAAAGCAAAGGAAGAAATGTTGTAAAATTGAGGGGGAAATAAAAAAATTAAATCAATTTATTTCTCCCCATGTACCAACCTGCTTGTAAAGTCTTGAAGGGTGAATTTATGTTCTGTGCCTCTTTTCCTGTTACAGCCGGTCTCTACGGATTTTGGTCAGTACAACAGTTATGGGGATGTGAGTGGTGCTGTTAGAGGTAAGGATGAGGAGCCTTTTACAGTCTATTAGTAATAAATATAAAAATGTCGTGATGTTTGATCATTTATGCTGTTTTATATTAAGGCTGTAAATATGATTATTTTGTATTTGCTCAGTACTTTTTAATTTTCTTTGGCAAACTCAGTTAACTCAAAGCACTTCAAATGCCTGTTAAAAATGTTTGGTTTATTTTGCTAAATCTGTTAAGTGGAATTGATCCTTGTTCATACTTTAGCATTGGGTCAAATGGAAAGCAAATAATGTGTGCATTATCAGGAATATTAACTGAGTTCTGTGAGTTTTGTGTTTTCTTTCTCTGAAAATTACTATCCCTGTGCAGTCTGGAGCAATGTGCCACAGTGGAGAAAGGGAGATAATGCCCTCTAATCCCCATTGCTACTCATGATCTTCATTATGACTTTGAGCTGGATGTGGTACCAGTCAGTGCCAAATAAAAATTGACAATATTATTTATGAAAGTTACAAAATTTGGAGAGTTAATGAAAAGAACTGCAATACTTGGAGTGTTTGACTCTACAAACTAAGTACAAAATTAGAAATGTTGCTGGCTTTAGAGAATCAGGTGGGATTTTGAAAAAATCAGATTTAACAGAAAACAGAGAAGGATTCTCTGGTAGATTGTGACTGATTCCTGTCCTTCCACAGTCTGAAGTTGATGAGATTTCTCTTTTGCTTTTCAGATTTCCAGGTAGAGTACGGGTTCTCATCAATCAACTGACAGCAGAACCTAAAGCAGCTACTTGTTCAACTCTGAATTTCTGCTACAGGGAAGGGTTTCTTAAGACAATAGCTTTGATTTTCCTGCATGTTTAAGCATAATCACCAGTGTAGATCCTTATCAACAAAAAACAGGCACAGCCTCGCATTTCTCCTTGTTACCTCCCCAGAGCTGAGCTGAGACAGCTCAGACCTGTTTTGTGACTTGCTCTGTAAATTGCACTGTCTGTTCCTGAATGAGTTATCTGTAATAGCCTTCTCTGGACACGTGAGGGTGGATTTATTTCCAGCCTCTCTAGTACTGACCCCAGAGAAACATAGAAAATCTCTTCTGGAGGGAATTTTCTCTCATACCAGGAGCTTTGAACTCCTTAATTTTACCCTGGAATTTGCTCTCCAGACAAGATGGCTGGTCAGTAGTTTTCTGCAGTGCTGCCATCCCAGATGAGCCAGAAAGAAGTGTGCTTTCAAATAGAAACCTTTTTACTTCAATTACTGCCTGCAGGGTTTTGTTCAGAATGGTTTGAGTCTGCCTGGCTCCTCAGCACAATCACAATATGAAATGGCAATTTAAGAAATTACTTGGATTTTTTAATTTTAATAAGTTTAATTACTTGGATAATTTTGTTAACGGCATATCAAAATCATGATGATTGGAAAGAGAATGAGGTTATGGGAGGGGAGCAGAGCTGTCCATGTATTGTGCTCCAAATGTTACTTCCTTAGGTTTAGTACCTGTGTCAAAACAGCACCTTTTTACCCTTATCCCTGTTTGTGTTTATAGTAAAAATTACCCATTGTAGAGACAAAGAAAAAAAAAAATCCCTCAGCTGATACAGTAAATTACAAGAAGGAAAGCCCAGAGGTGTAAGAGTGCTTTCTGTGCTGTTGGGTGGGATCTGAATTAATGCTAGGGAAGAACTAGAGAAGAATTCCACCTAGTCACTGGGGTGGGAGAGGGACCACCACTCTCTTGGGGGGCCCAGGTCCCCTGGAAAGTGGTGCTGCTCAGCTCAGGGGGGGCTGTCACCAGCCTGAGCAGGGACAGGAGCTGTGGTGGCTGAGGGGACAGAAGGATCTGCCTGCTCAGAGGAGCAGTGAGCAGTAGCCATGGCGATGATTGAAATAGTAAGACCGAGAATTAAGACTTGAAGGAAGTCTCAGGGCAAATTCACCTTTGTCTTCACCACGACTTGAGTGCCTTTACCCTCTGTGTGTGTAACCTTTGTGTCTGATGTGTGCCTGTATCCGATGCAGTCCCTCCCGGATGGTCATGTCCCTGGAATGAGAATGGACAGAGGAGTGTCTATGCCTAACATGTTGGAGCCAAAGGCAAGTGCAGATGTTATTCACTTTCCTTCAAGACTTTGAAGGTGTTACTGTGAAATGCAGATAAAATATGGGAAATGTCTTAGTTCCCTTGTTTTCTTTTACCTCACCTCAGCCCCTGCTCCTTATGTGCCAAACCTGTCCCTTTGTCCTGGACTGTTCTGCAGGTGTTGGTGCTCAGGCAGGCTCAGGCAGCCCAGATGTGATCCCTGGGTTAGGGAAGCTTTTCTAGGGACAAAGTGACAGATGTGGAAGGTGCTCCATAGCTGGTTCTCTGCCAGGCTTCACCAGCCAAAGCACCAGGCCAAACTCCCTGGGAAGGTCTCAGATCTGTCCAGTTTGGAAAGTGCTGCAGAATATTGTGGCTCACAACACATTGTTGAGGCTGTCGTAATTCCAAAGATGATGGAAAATCTTTGACTGGAAGTAAGATGTCTGGATCTGTTCCTCAGCTCTCAGCACTGCTAACCTGAGACCTGTCCATAGTGTTGAATTCCCTGTATGAGAAACTCTTCAGGAGATTTATTGGAAAAAGAGACAATGTCAGCTAACTGTAATTTAAGACAAAAATTAAAACGCTTTTACAGCTATGTCTAGAGATGCCTGAGTCAAAAATGAATATAATATATGGAGGGAATTCAACCAGGGCTGTGTTTTAAATATTACAACTTTATTGCTGATGAACCTTCCATGAAATCATGATTTTGCCAAATTTACAAGGATCAGAATTTCTGCAGTTAAGTGAGGAGCTCACTTTGCAAACCAGATTACTTCTTGTGCTTCTGAGTCACCTCCAGGCAAACTGTACTAGGCAATAACCCTGGCTTTATAAGCTGAGACCCCGGTGCACTGTGCAGTTACAAGTGGTTTTATACATTATATAAATAAGTCTGTGGGGACTCCTAAGATACTGCTTTTTATTCCAAATAATTTCTCTTTCAGTGCAATAGAAATTCTTACAGTCACCACTGCTGTTGATGTACCCAGTGATTTGGGATGCTATTTTGGGTGGCAAATTCTGTCAGTATTATTAATGACAAAATTTAATTATTATTTTTAATGGTTATTTTAATTAAAAAAATTACAGGAAATTTCCTGAGATAATAGATCACTTTCTGTTGGTATTTATAAAGGTGGTGCCAGACCCTCAGGATGTGTGAATTGGCACTTTTTTTATTTGTTTCAGTTGTCCAACACTTACACCTGCTAAAATAAAATAAAATAAACCAGTTCAGAGTCAGCATGACACATATGAAAAGTAAAGATTAATAATCCTAAGAATTACCAGATACTATCAAATGGTTCTCCAGAAAGGACAGAATTTGTGCATCTTGCCAGCCCATACTGAGACATGCCTTGTTGTGAATATTTAAACATAAAATGTACCTATGACCATAGATCTTGACTTAAACTCTGCCTGTTTAAATATGAAAAGTTACATTTTAGTTTACTATAATGCTGTTTATAGTAGCCATTTCCAGTATCAAACATAAAAAATGTAATTCCAAGTATAGACCTAATTGTACAATTGTGACAATGTCAGAATCTCATAAGAATCATATCTCACAATTGGTATGTAAGCACACGTTATTTAAATTATTATTACTTAAAATAAAATCAAGTGGTGTGTTCATTGATGCCTGAATGTTATTTATTATGTTTTGAAAAGTTCATGGGGATAATTGTTAACAATGGAATGAACTTAGATGCTGAGTACTGCACAGAAGTTGATTAAGTCAAACTTCTTCAGATGTTGCAATAATGTAATTAAATAGCATTGAATAATAGCTCAGCTCTCTCCAGGAGATTTTTGGTGGTCTCATTCATATTCCCAGAGGGCAACTAAGACAAGACCCACAAATGACAGTAAAGGCTGAGCCAGTTGCCACTGAAGTTTCCAGAAAAACTTCACTGACTTGAGTAGGGGTTGGATGAGGGGTCTGGGAATGCTGCTTTCCTAAAGTGACATGCAGTGGGAAGGGCTCTAGAGATGCTCTGGAAGACAGAACATGAGCTCTCCTAAGTAATTCCAGGCATGGAAGTGTCTATCCAAGGGGAAAAAAAAAACTAGAACAGAGTTTTATTTGCTAGGGATTATTCCAGAAACTGATCTTCATATTTTCTGAAATCCTTTCCAAGCAGCACTGTTTCTGTTAGTTGTTTGAATTCTTTAACTATCCAGAAAGGCAAGGAAAATCATGTGATAAATTCTACTGAATGCAATGGCCCCTACTAATTAATATTTTGCTTATTCAGAGATGCTGCTGGTTTTATGTACTTCCATGTTTTTAAAACCCACTCACTGTCAGTCCTTAGGGCTGTCCACACTCTGGCAGCCATTAGTTAGACCAATGAGTGACAAATGCAGTTACTTTAATAAATTTATACATTGATGGATGAGGAAATGCATTGCCTAGAAAGGACTCTGCCTGACCAAAGCCAGCTGATGTATTATATACAGCATAAAAATTGTGGGTTTACAATGTGAGGTAGTTCAATGCTAAACAAGTTCTGGATCTGTTCAGATCAGCTTGTTTTCCATACAACTTTAGGAAAAAAAGGTAAGAAAAAAAAAAAAAATACAAAAAGTCACCAAACTGATATTTGCTTTGAAAAAGAAAACAAATATTTGTGTGCTTATGAAAATGACACACATTTTGTTCTGTCTGCGTTAGACTATAAATATAAATATCTCTTTTTCCCCCTTTTTATACGTTGTTAACAGATTTTTCCATATGAAATACTCATGGTGACCAACAGAGGGCGAAATAAAATACTAAAAGATGTAGACAGAACCAGGCTGGAGGTAAGAGAAGCAAGTTCCTAAATGCTCTTTCCTGCTAAAATTGTTTGTTTTTTGTGAAAGCTGAAACACTGAAATGTGGGTCCTGAGAAAAGTGGGAATATTTCTCAGCACTATCAGGGAAAGAGGGATCAGACATTGGGAGGAAGCAGCTGCATCTTCTCAAACAATCTCCCACATCTCTGTCTCCCTGCTCATAGACTGAGCTTCTCACAATCCCCTTCTGTTTTCAGGCCTTTCATTTTATGCTTGTGGATTTTCTAAAAGCCCAAAATTGCACAGGTTTCACAAGATCCAGACTGGAATGGAGCAATACTTTGTTCTTGGACCATCTCTTAGCTAAGAGTCAGTGTCAGCCATCCTTGAGGACCAAAAGTCTAACTTTCTTTAACTCATCATGAGTCCTGTGACTTAGTTAGAAGACTGGCTGATATCCAAAAATACGAGGATCTAAATCTCTGCCAACAAACAAATATAGTTTACAGCTTTGTGGATTAGGAAGACTTAAGCAGCCCAGGGGTATGCTGGGGATGCTTAAGTCCTTAATCTTCTGTGGAGATGAAAGGAAGGAGCCACAAAAATGTGGGTAGTTTGGGTAACAATTTGGGTTTATGCCCATTTTCAGTATTAGATGTGGTCACTAATCAGAATTCAGACCTGTGTTAGATCAGTGCCACAGGGAGACACTTTCCCCATCCAGTGCACTGTGAAGTGGCTGAATAAGAAGTAACCTGTGCACAGGACAGCACCAAAAAGGGTTTCATTAGCAGCAGAGAAGTGTGCTGAACAGTTAGCCTGGCCAGACATCTTCCTTCTCAGAGCTTGGAGCACATCAAGCTGCAGCCCCTCTGCAGAGCACTCCTAAAAACCCAGTGTCTGTTGGGATTTCCAGAAGCAGAGGTGACTTGCTAAAGCCTGGGACAGGGCGTGCAGGAGTTGGTCCTGTTCTCTGGTCTGTCACTGCCTGTTGGATGGCTTCAGACCAATCATTTCTCTGTCTCTTGCTTATTCAGCAAGTGAAATGTGCCATGAGTGGCTCCTTGGGCACCCAAGTCCATGAGGACTTGGATAAGTGTATGGCCAAAGCATTCTTTTTTCCAGCAATGGCTCTTACAGCGGCATAAAATCCCTAAGGTGCTCCAACCTCCAGTTGTGTCTCTTTGGCTTTGACTGACCATTGCCTTTTCTCCTTTTTTTATTCCCTCCTTTTTTTTTTTTTTTTTTCTTTTTTGAAGCGTCACTTAGCACCTGAAGTTTTTCAAGAAATATTTGGCATGACGATACAGGAGTTTGACAAGTTACCTCTCTGGAGACGCAACGACATGAAGAAAAAAGCAAAACTCTTTTAATCTCCCTTTAAACAAACCAACCACAAATGATGCATAGAATATTGTATCACACAGTCCAAACTGTTTGGAAGCAACTACTTATCCACCAAAAAAGGGAAAATCAACATAGTGGTACCTCTGCAGTTGAACAAGATCAACAATTGCCCTCCTGGAATGCAGGGAGAAAATATCTGGGCTCAGAAACAGCAATGATAGTTTCCAGAGGTGTCAACCTGTTACTTGATATTGTACGAGACAGAAAACTGTTCTGTTCTTCTCCCTCAATGATATTCCCTTTACTTCTCTCCACAATATGATGGACTTTATTGCTAGAGCCAGGAAGTGCCCTTAGGATGCCTTGTAGACTAAAGTAGTTGTAACCACTCCAGGAACTGGAAGAGAATATATACATATATAAATATATATATATATATGTATGCGTGTTTGCCTGTGTGCACACATGTATTTATATCTCTCCATCTATCTCTGTGTGTGTGTATGTGTGTATATATGTGTGTATATATGGAGAGGGACATAGGTGTGTAGTGAAGGAGCAGCCCCTTGTAACTTATCCACATGGTCACATCAAGTCTTTCACCCAACAGTTTCTTACTTGGCACTCTTTTGACACAATGTCTTCTTCATGTAACACAACCTGTGGTGGTGGACACTCTGCTCACCTGCAGGACACCACTTGGATTTCTGGAAAATGGACTCCTTGTAAATATTTGCTAGGATATAAGAAGTGAATTGCTGTGTGTGTGCTGTCAGTCTTCCCTCTTCCACACTTTCTGCTTGAATTAATAAGGCTGGAGCTTAACCAGCCCTTTGAATAATTTAAGATCATTCAGTAATGGGAATGATGGAGAAGAGTCAGTTTTCTTGTAATTTACTCCAGGAGGTGGGTGCATGGGGGTGGGAGTGGCAGAGTGAAGAAATGCTATTTTAAGTGTGCCCTGGTTTGCACCCAGAGATTTCAGGACGAACTCCCTGCTGGTAATTGCTAGTACAGCTCATCAGGCTGCAGTGGAGTTGTAGGATTTTACAACGGCAGGGAGAATGGTTCTCTGCAAGCTAACATGCAGATTCATCCCTCTTAGGGAGGAAATGTTTATGAATTAAAAGGTACCATCAAGGTGCCAAGCTCTGCCAATAGAGGCTTTTTGATTAAACTGCAGTAGCTGTTGTCAATATGGCACAGTGCATGGGGCCAAGCACTCATTTTAGTTAATGTAGGTTTTCACTTGTGCTTGGAAAAGAGGGCACAGACTTTTTTTTTTTTTTTTTTTTTTCCCTGTCTTGAAGCATCAAAGCTCCAGCCTTGGTTATTTTTATTTCCCTTTGTGCCTGACTTGGTTTTTGAAGACAGAGTAATCATGCAAGACAGTTTCTGAGCTGCGTTGAACTCCTTATTGCTTTCAGTCTTTCTTCCAATATGCTGCAGCTTGAAAAACTGCCTGTATATACCTTAACTGCTTCTGGGCAAGTCCTATGCAGAGGAGGACGTGAGCACCAAAGTAATTGAATGGATGCAGTGTGGCTGCTTTTTCTCTTCCTTGGTGCTTAACTGCCAATGCATAACTGCACTAATGAGCCTGCCTCCTGACAGGAGAGGGTCACAGGTTCTGTGTCTGTCAAAGCATATCAAGGTTTCCTTTTTAATGCAGAAACTCCAGGCACTGGAGACATCAGAACCTTTGTATTTTCTTTTCTATGAGACATTGGTGTTAAAATCTGGAAGTCAGGAAGAGGAAACAGTCCCACGTAGTTCTGAGATTCAGTATCACTGTGTTGAGTTCTCTGTATCACCAAATGACATTTCACCATCAGCTGTGCAGGACAGCCCAAACCCTGCCTCTTCTTTGCTGGTTTAGGAGGTCCGGTTGTGACAGAGCACTGTGGTTCCTTTGATACAGTCTGAGATGAAGATTCAGTAGGGGAGAGACAGAGACCAGGGCTCAGCACCTGCTCCATGTCCCTGAGGGAATGTGGGTCTGTGGGACAGGCTGGAAAACATGCCACCAAGGGTCTGGCACCATCCCCAGGGAACAGAAGTCCCTGGGACACTGTGACACACACACTTGTGAGTGAGCTCTCTGGGTGGCACTGAGGTTGCAGCAGGGATCAGGGTAACATATTTCATGTTTCATATTTCATATTTCTGTAGTTTTTCAGAACACAGATCTGAAAGGTTTTTAGAGGAGCTCTGAGAAGTAAATGGGAGTGTCAGGGGCTCAAAATGCATTTTTGAGTGAGTGCTGAAAGCAAATCCATACAGTGAAAGAACAGCAGTGTTTTACACTCACAGACTTTGTGAATGCTGCGGTCTCAGAAATTCAGTGTTTGGTCACCTGCAAGGTGTGGCTTAACTTTGAGACAAACATTTGAGTTTTAATGCATTTAAATTATTAAAATTCTCCACATTTTGTCGTCCCACATCCTACAGACACTCAAACTATTAGGCATTACAGGTCTTTTAGTTCAAGTCACTTTGACCATACCCCTTTTAGACCTGAGGAGTTGCTCTCTCAAGGATGTGAGCTGCCAGTCTGCATTTTTCTGTCTCCATCTCTAGGTTACTACTGAACTTCCCACAGCACGTACAAACACACTACCCAGTCATTTCAGAAATGACTAAGCCAGGTTGTTTTCTCACCTCTCCCTCCTATGCAAAAAAAAAAAAAACAAAACAAAACAAAAAAAAAAAAAAAAAAAAAAAAAAACAAAAAACCCTCCAACCCAAATCATTCTGTGATTCTATGAGCCTCTTAGCCTGTGAAGAATGGCATGGTAATTTGGATCTGCCTCATCAACTGAGAATTTAAAACTGCAGCTTAAGCTTGGGAAGGAATGAAGAGAAGCCAGGGGAGATGTTGCAGAAACAACTCATCTCTGACTGGATTTTTGGGCCACTGCTGGCTCCCATCTCACCGGTGTGGAGCAGTCAGTCAATTCTCAGCCCTCTACACTAGCCTTACTACTGCTTTACTCCTGACTGAGAACATGAAGGGTGTTCTGAGCTTCAGTTTCATGCCTACAGTTAATTCTCCACCACCTACATGTAGACACACCCAAGAGATCATCTGTCCACAAAACCCACGCTGCAGCCAGCTGTGGGGGAGGGAGGATGTCTGCAGTGGGCTCTCAGTGATTGTCACTGCAGTGTTTTCTCTTCTTTCATCTGGTCTTCCCACCTAATATAAACAAAATGTAGCCCCAGGGAGAATTTTCTTTGTAAGCAATTAATCATTTTCCTGGTATCCATTGAGTAGCAGTTCTTAGTAATTCCCCTCTTTGGTATTCCCTTGGGACATGCCAGGAGTTGGACTAGATGATTTTTAAAGGTCCCTTCCAACCCAAATCATTCTGTGATTCTATGAATATGCCTTAAGTACATGCTTGTGTTCTTCCATTTCCTGCAAAGCATTTGAGCTTCTGATAAAGTCCCATCCCATCAATGCTGTCAACACAATGTCATTAGCAAGAGGACTAAAAACTGATTGCTTTTGTCTTCTTTTTTCTCCTTTTCTGCTTTAGGAGTGATGTAAGAGCAAGGCCCAGTCAAAGCATTGCAGAATAACCCCACATGTGCACATGGGTTTAAGTACACATGGGATTATGCACAGATGCAGATCCTTGAGCACAGGTGCACTTGTGGCACACACCCTCCCCATTTGGAGCTCATTAAGTGTGGGTTGTGGTGTGCTGTGGATGTCCTCAGTGTGCTGTGAAAGGTCAGGCTGGGAGGACTCAGTAGTCCCTCAATTATCCCTTTATGTGGGATAAGACATCTCTGTGGCTCCAGCAGTGCTTTTCCTTCTGTCAAGACAGGTGTCACCTCTCCTTACAAAGTCCTCCAGTCCTAAGTCTGTGATGCCACTGAAGTGCTTGCTGCCCTTTTCCTGTTGCATTTGGGAAATCCTTTCTCAGCCATGTAGTTCAGATGTCCTGCTGCTCAAGAGAGCTCAGCAGCCTCTTCTTAAAAGTGAGCTACACTGAAGTTAGACACGTTTTGAAGTGAATCCCTTTCCACAATGCCTGTGTCTCCTGGCAGGGTGGTATCAATGGATAGAGAAGGGTTAAGGTCTGGGAAGGAGAAGGGTTGGCATAGTCTTGATTCTCCAGGGCTTGCCAGGGTGATGCTTGGCAGGATTAGAGGAAAGCACTGGCATGAGACTGTAGTACCTGTTTCAAACTGTGGGGAGGTCAAGTTTGGAGCTCATAGCATGTGAGCACCCACACTGAAATTAATGGTATGAAGCTGTTAGAACAAGCAACAGGAACATTAGGTCTCAGAATGGTAAAAACATGAACATCCTCTAAACTCTTCAGGGAATGATTTATCTTGGCTCCTCCTGACTTAGGAGGAGATGTTGGCATATTTGGACATAGGCTTGTAGGACAGACAAATGAAAACCACCTTTTCTCTCACTCCATGATTCATTGCTTTCCTCTGGAATGTGTTTGTGAAGGAGGATGTTCACATCCTGAATGTTACCTACAGCAGTGAGGAACACCAGTCAGTGATAATGACAATGCAATAAAACACTTGCAGGAAACAAGAATTAAACTGACCTATCCAAAATGCCACTCATCTTTGCATGCCAGAGGGATGCTTAGGGCTTGTCTCCACTGCCCCTTCCCCATTCAGTTCTCCCCTGGTCACAGTCTGCTTTGTGCCCTCTCAAACTTTGTGGCCCTGTCAACACACCCACTAGAGTCCAGCATCATCTTCAGGGTAGATGATTAGCAAGGGCTGGTCTTGACAATATGTGGTACATTTTTACCCCATTGCTGCAAAATGAAGAGCTGGAGAGAGCTCCTGAGCACTGTGACAGTAGCACAATGCACCTTTTTCCCTTAGTGTAGAACACTCCTGTCACTGTGGGCTGCAGCATTGCTCTGGCTGGTGAGTTTTGCCTTGTGATTTCTCCCACACACCTTTTTTGTGCTTAATAAGATAAGAACAACAACAAAAAAATCCATCACAATGCAAAGATACTGAGTTTTCAGTCAGACAACTCTGCTGGCAGGAGCTGTGTGATGCCCACATTTGGCAGAAGTGTTATTAATTTTAATGTGCAGTGCAGGAAGTGGGAATATAATTGGCCATTAATGTTGTTTGCCTGTATGCAAAATAAATTATTTGTTGCCCAAAGGGCTTCTAACAGGGAAATAGATTTCTGCTAATGAGTTGCTCAGAAATGCTCGTCTTTGTGAAGAGATAATACTTCCATGTGCACTGTGGTCCTTCTTTTGAGGTAAAAAAGAGATGACTGAAGGGGAACAGTGACCTGTTGTGTCAGGATCACCACAGGCAGTACAGGTGTTGCTCCCAGGACTCACAGAGCCGAGGCCCACAGGACCCTGCCCCTGGGCATTGGGAAATGCAGCTGTGGGAACCCCAGTGGTGCCTTACCAGGCTGAGTCTCCAGCTCCCTTAGGATGCTTTGACAGGTCCCACTGGACACTTGCCTGGGCTGTTGTCACGGAACACCTTCAGAATGCACTTCCCCCCAGATGCAAACCCACTGGCAGCAGTGGAGCCTCCTCTCCCTGGCACTGCAGCCCTGGGGCCAGGGGAGCCTCTGGCTGCTGGGTGTGCCCAGCCAGGAGCTCGGTGTCACCCCCAGAGCAGCCCTGTCCAAGCAGTGAGGCTTGGTCATTGTGGACAACTCTTCCTGTAAGGGGGCCTTACTGGGAACTTTTTTTAAGCTTTGGAAACTGAAACTAATTTTTTAAAGGTGTACTTTCCTTTAAATCAGTAGATTTTGGCAATAGGATTTTTTATTATTTTATTTTTCTTTTCTCCTCCCTCCACATGTTACAAACCAGCGTTTTGGGGAGGTGTCCCTGTGTTTTCCATTCATCTGTCTCTTTTTCTGAGTCTCTGTAAAAGTGAATCAATGTCTTGTCTGTACAGTAAGTCTGCTTGTATGCATAATGAGAAGTTGAGCTGGGTTGCTGTTCTGTACAATTAGTGTTTCCACTGTCATACTGCAAACAGCACATATTGCACTCCTGTGCCACTGTAATCTGCATCACTGTTGTACTCAAGTCAATGAATAAAGTTTGGAGCTTTATTCTTAATTTCTGGATTCATGTTGCCTCATTTATTTTGGTTTTTCTTTTTCATTTTGCAGAGTTATAAGAAAGTTCTCCTACAAAAATAGGATGTGCTCTTGAGAGCTCTCAGAGAGGTGAGATACGAATGATAAGAGCAAGACAGCTGACAGCAACAGATTTGAAAATTGTCACAAGGCTTCTTGTAGCTAAGCCACTAGAAATAGATAGAAAATACATTGATGTAAACCACATAGAAGTGTTAATTTTGTTGTCAATTGAGGTTTAAAATGACCTGAGATACCTGCAAGGTGAAAAAGACCATGCCATGCAGTTGTGTCAGCTTCAAAGGCTAAATTGTTGCCTTTCAGCTAAAATGTTAGTCCCCATCTTGAAAATGTTTTATAATTTAAATTAGGCGTTGGCTTAATCACCTGGAGTTTAAACCTGCCCTGGTGTGGGTGTGGAAGGCGGGGGATGATGCCCCCCAAGGAAATGGGGTGTTTATCACACCCATAATGTGCTGAGCTCCGGGGGTCCAGCAGAGCATCGTGGCAGCAGAATCAAGCACCCAGCCCCTCCAAGGATGTGTGCAGCACAAACCTGCACAGCCCCTGAGCCTCCAGAAGGCCCCTGCAACCCCAGGATCCGTGCCCTGCAGATACCAGCTTCTCCATCTTCTCTCTCACTCCTCAGCCCTCTGAGCCTTCCCCCTGGCCCTGCCTTGATGTTCCACACAGATTCTGTCTCAAGAGAAAGGTAAAGCTTCCCCAGGGTTTTACTTCAGTGTGCTGTGTTGAGAGTGTTTAATGGCTGAGCCTCAGATGAGATGAGGACTCAGGTTCCTGCTTGGAGAGCAATTCAATACCACTGTGAAATTATCCTTTAGCAAGGTTCATACCTGCCCCATTTTTTGCTCTGTTATGTGTGTGCTGTGACTTGCACAAGAGAAACCTGTCTCTGAACAAATCCAGCCTGGTGGCAGTTAGAGGTGTCCTTTCTGTCATTTCTAGAGGTGTCTGTCCAGGATTGCATCTCTGGGCATCTCCTGTTAACCTCCCTGGGCATCTTCACTCCTTCAGGAGCTAAGGAAGGTCTGTGCACAAAGTACCTACTTAAAAAGCCACAAGTGTAAGTTTGGCCTTGCAACTTCTCTTGAAAATTTCCCAAACATATAAAAAAACCTCAAAACCCAGAGTCTCCCTTTTGAGTGGCTGTGT